GGTTAGTTTTAATATTATTGTTCATGTATCTTTTGCATCATATCACACTTCAAAATTTCAATCAATCAAACTTTTTTTATAGAGAGCGTTTCATACAAAAAAATGCAACACAAAGCGCTTGTTATTTGTTGTTGTAATTTGTTATTGTGACAGGTCTAGTTACAATATTGCAGTATGTATGTTTGATAAATAAAATAAAATACATTAAAAATACTTCTAAAGGCTGCAAAAAGAAGAGGTTAAGTATAAAACAAACTTGCAGAGTAATACTTATTTTAGCATCCATTTACACCCAACCCTACAGCCCCAGTGCCGTTTCACCCCATAAACAGTTCAATATGTCATTCCAAAGGGCAGATCATTGACGATTTGAAATGACTGGATATTGATTTGATTCAAATTTGATAAAATGAGCCAAAGTCAAAGCCATAAGTGCAAGTAAACAGGGAGGTGGGAAGTGTAAGCAGCAGTTTATAGGACCAAAATGTTGTGAACTTTTGGTAGAATTTAACAAAACTCAATATTTTGAAACCGCTCATGATCAAATTCCTTGTGGAGAAGCGATGCATTTTAACACATTAATTGGTATTAGATACTGACTTCGATCCTACTGTTATAGAAACATTATGTACATCTCTGTTGTGGAGAATGTAGATCGCTTGAAGAATAAATAAGCTTTTTTCTGCTTTTTTCTCTTGATGGTAAATAATAATCAATTTGCGAAGCTCGGTTTGTTTTTGGAATACAGACAAAGCAGGTGTATTCTTTTGTTACAGCAGATCCAGACAAGTAAGTTTCCTCTATCAAGAAAGAAACGTATCACATATCAAAGCAGAGTGACTTTGGTTTCACAGACATGCGCCAATCAACTTAACTTACATTCGAGAACAGGTAAGACAACACGGAGTTTCCAACGGGGTGGGGACGGTATCCGCTGAGTCTTTACACGTGTTAACAACGGGTCTGGGTCTCAGGTAGAAATCACATTTACACAAAAACAAGAGACTACGACAGAAACTTTTCTTCACAATATACATTTCCATCACACTGCCCTGGTATTACATGGTATCGGACGAAACAAAAAGCACTGGGGCTGAAATATCATACTATACTCCAAATACAACTCTACAAAAACTCACCTTTATGTAGCAGATAATACTCCCTACAACTGTACAACTCACCCTTATGTAGCAGATAATACTCCCTACAACTGTACAACAACTCACCCTTTTGTAACAGATAATACTCCCTACAACTGTACAACAACTCACCCTTTTGTAACAGATAATACTCCCTACAACTGTACAACAACTCACCCTTTTGTAACAGATAATACTCCCTACAACTGTACAACAACTCACCCTAATGTAAAGGATAATGCTCCCTACAACTGTACAACAACTCACCCTTATGTAAAGGATAATGCTCCCTACAACTGTACAACAACTCACCCTAATCTAAAGGATAATGCTCCCTACAACTGTACAACAACTCATCCTTATGTAACAGATAATACTCCCTACAACTGTACAACAACTCATCCTTATGTAACAGATAATACTCCCTACAACTGTACAACAACTCACCCTAATGTAAAGGATAATACTCCCTACAACTGTACAACAACTCATCCTTATGTCAATCATCATATAATCTTTGCACTATTCTCCTTGTATATTCCTGAGATATTTTTATTACTTATTTCTATTGCGATTTACTTTTACATATACATTTATCTCATTATGCCTTATTTGACACCAGTTTCTTGATATTTTTGCTACTTATTTAGACTTTATATTTATCATTCATGTTTTTGCTCTTTGTTATTATAATATATTGTGATGTTAGAGCAACCGTGTCTAAATAATTTCCCTTGTGGATCAATAAAGTTCATCTAAGTCTACAAATTACATTCATTTACACAAACAAAGACAGAAGTATTCAGTTCACAATATTAAATTTCCATCACACTACCCCAGTATTACATGATATTTGATCAAAACAAAAATCACTTGGTCTGAATCATCCATCACAACTAACATGATTACAGGTAAGGCTTTGCAATTAATTGTGTGTTAAACAATTTCCAAACTCATATAACCGAGTTGAAATTATTTGGGGATTTTTGTTTTTTTTGTTTATTTTGGATATTTTTATGTTTTTCCAGGCCTTATTTCATTTTCAAAGTATAGTTTATTCATTTTATGTTTTATACATCGCAAAGCTGCTCTAAGTGTTTTGTTTTTTTTGAGAGAGAAATGCTGAAATAATCCTTTGAAGCATCGTGATTTCAGTATTGACCAAAATAATCGTGATAATGATTTTTTTCCATAAGCGACCAGCCATAATTACAGGGTTTGGGCTTAAAGGTGCATTGTGTAACTTTTCTGGTGGGAGGGTCCGTCAAATGCTTTTCTCCATGGAGAGTTACAGGTCAGATCTGTGGAGAGGTGACCCCGCTCACAGTCAAAATGCTGTTTTTCTTGGTATTTTTGAGCTGTAAAACCACCTGTAATTGAATAAATGTAAGGTAGAGCTGTTTAATGTCATACTGTGGGACACTCCAGGCAAAGCAATGACATATCCATAGAAACAAGCAGGAGACAAACCCCCAACCAAAGTCAAAAGTTGCATAGTTCACCTTAAAAGTCAGTGAATACGTCTGTTGTAGATTTAACTTCAGAAAGTGTATCGATTGGGCCCTTTTAAATGAGCTGAAATAACATCCAAATTGAACGAAATAGTCAGGCTGGGGTGAAATAATGATGCCGGAGAAGCAGAGAGATGTGTTGTCTCTAAAACTTTAAGCAATAGGATAAAATCTGAAGTTTACAATGTGATTAACTAGAACTTTAAACAGGTAAACAAGCCGGGCGCAAATTAGAATAGAGAATTTATATCCTTTGAGAAACACCGAAATGCCCAAAACCAGTATTTATTTATTCAAGTTTGTTTGGACTGGGATTAGTCGTGGATTTAGTAACTAGTCACTACCACTGGAGCAACACCAAATAACCGCAACAAAAAAATCATCTTCATTTAGAAATTCTAATCTAATAATACACGAAAAGGCAGACATCAACGCCAAAACTGGGCTATTCTTTACCATCATCCAGGGGGCTATACATTTGACAGAGCCTGGCATTTAAATCAATGTTTCTAGTCTCCTCCTCTCTCCATTGCTTCAGTACGCTTCTCCAGACTTCGCTGACAGCTACCTACACCGTATACAAGGCCTATATGGAGGAAATGTGTTACAAGAAATGATCTGGCCGAGAAATAGATGACAATGCACCTTTTTCTAGCCCACATGTAGTCCCCGAGTTCTTCATCTTTGTTCCATCACCCCGATAAAACTAAACCTTAGAGATTTTGCAGTAGCACAGTAGACAGAAGGTGTTTTAGATCTTTAAATTTGAGAAAAATGCAAAAAAATATCTATTACAATTAATTTTATGGCTAAGTTTCAGGACTAAACATTAGGGATGTAACGATCTCACGGTACGATATTTATTGCGATATTTTGGAGAGGCTGATATAATTGTAAATAGGACACTTTTTTGCTTTTAAAATACCTTAGCAAGATTTTGGTGAGAATTATTTCCATCATAATCCCAAGAATTCAAGTAAAAACATATTTCTTCATGTCGTCTGCACTGAAATGACTCATGGGATATGCAGTTACCGATGTTTATAAGCTGTTGCTACAATAAAACCAAGCATTTAAGCAAAGGAACTTGTGATTCAGTATATTGTGACATCCCACGATATTACTGTGAGACTTTTGACGATACGATATCACGATATTTCGGTTATTGTTATATCCCTACTAAATTTACTATAAGACCTGGGGGGATAGGGCCTTCTCTGTTGAAACTCCCTGCCCAAACACATCCACTTCTACACTGCCCATGTTTAAAAAAGCCCTGAAAATCCATCTTTTTAAAACCACTTTTCATGAACTTTCTTTCTTCATTTGCCTCTCCATGTAAAGCATCTTTAAGTACCTCAAAAAGCGCTATACAAGTGTTATTTATATTATTATTATTCATTTTTAAATTAACACAATAGCGATTCTATTGGAACAAAAACAGAAATCAAACCTTGCAAACCAATATTATTATGTATTGCAATTACCATCAGCTTTTACTTGAACACTATGCAAAACTCAAGCAATAATATTAAAATGTTATTATAAAATAGACATTACAGTAGACTGCCCTAGATCACTGCAAGAAAACATCTGGTTCCATAACACCAGAGATTAACCTGATACAAATGCAAAAGGATTTAAGCATTAAGATTATAGCCATATGGTCGTACTGTTTGAAAGCAAAGTCTGAATCTGAATAGGGGTCATTATGGCACAACTTTTGCTTTACAAAGAATAGCCTTACATTTGCACGCCTGCCCTCTTTTCTCGCATGGTTACCTAGAATAACATGACACAACCACCACGTAAAGGATATTCTCATGTATTATTTGTTTACGTAGATTAACCTGTAATTCGCGGTGTGTACATAGGGGTGGGGATGGGATGGGACCGTGGGTTACTACATTTCTCGTTAATACGCACACACATCCACTCATATGCGCCTTTGCCTGCATTTCAAGGACAAAAACCACACTGCAATGCAAGCTGGTTTGCAATGTACAAGAAAAGCAACCGCGCAGGAAACCGTGACAATTCAACAGCCAAAGGTGGTGTTAAAACGCAAAACCAGGTTTAGAGAAGCGTGTTTTGTATCCTTATCCGCTCCACCACCCACCCTCCTCCTATAACAATCCTACACATGTTGATTGCAAACTGGCGTTACCATAGACGCGCAAAAAATCGCCTGTGCATTTCTTGCTTCTTAAATTTAAACGCAAAATTTAAGCAGGTGCGTCTTTTCACGTTTCACATGCAGAATAAAGTGCGTAAAATCGGGTTATTTGTCGTAATCGGGGGTGATCCAGTGAAGGAGACGGAGTAAGCGTTAGATGGAAGCGTGTCTTACCGATAATCGTGGGTCAGGTGTGGGCAGATGGATGGAGATGTGCGCGGAGAGCTCTGCTGTTCTCCTCCAGCGCCGCAGCTCGTTTGCCGCAGACCCCGCCCACCCCGCGCCATTGGTCCAATCAACACCTGCCAAAGAGTAACCACACGCAGCGAAATGTACTCTATTTGTGTTTCCGCTTTTGTTTTCGCGTTAACGAACAAAGCGATATAAACAATAACTTACATATTTGAATTATAGCCAAACAGTTTATTCAAAAATGCTAATTCTCAAATATAAAACCCTTGTTCCAAATTTATCTTAATGAATTTCTGCAATTTAAGAGAGCCTTGTGTCATATAAAATCTAAACAAGCTGTTATATTGAACAATTGTATGCAGAAGTAAAAAAAAAAAAAAAAAAAGAACTCTGTGTAAATTTAATATTACGTCTTGCCAAATTTTACATCCACAAATGTAAAATTCTGAACTTTTCTTGTTTTAAAACGAACTCAAATTATATACAAAATCTCTGAAAAATATGAATGGACCTAAAGCTCAAAAAGTGTATTCCTGCATGTGTGAAATCCCCTTGGACACTATGGTCTCAGACTGAATGAACTCTACTCCCCTTGCTACCATCTTTTTCTCTTAAATGCACTTTTTTGTTGTTTTAGTACTATTATATTGTATTGTTGCTGTATAATATGTTGTATTTATGTTGTGTGTAATTAATTAGAATAAAAAAAAGAAATGCAGATGTATAAGACCTTTTGCATTGTATTTGTCTTTTATTTATTTATTTTATTATTGTAAAAAACAAAACAAAACTAAAAAACTATGAACTCAGTCAAAAAAAACTTTTGACATTGATTTAAAATAAAACTTTCATATTTGAATTAAAAAACAACATCACAATGAGATTATGAGATATTTATAGGACCCAAAGTCACCATTAAACTTATTTTCGAATCGTATTTCTAGTCACAGTTGGCGCTAGCATGGCCCATTCTAGCTACCAGTATGGGATTTGTAGTCCACAGGGGACGCTATACCCGTAACAGCGCGTGTTTCAGGTTATACAAAAAACTACAATTTGTTCTCCTGGACACGCCTCTCAGCACAGCCCAAAACAGCAAACACATTCACCGCTTCATTACTGTGTGGCTTACCTGTTCTGAATGCTTCCTGGAAAAACATAACAAGGGCAGAGCACATGCCAACTCTACCGTACGATTATAGGTTGTACTTTTATTTTTAGACTACGTTGATGGTTTATATCGGGTCAAAGGCTACGCGGTTACATATCGTTCATGTCAAGGTGAATTAGCAGGTTGTAGTACGCACCTGTCGTGAGCTGATAATTCCACCGAGAGACTCATCTAGCCCACAACATCTTACTTTTTGACTTTTTAGTATAGAATTGTTTTCTGATTGTGGGTAAGTAATTTTAATTTCACAATAATAAGTTATAAAAGAGGTTTCAATGTCACAGTAATCGGTCTGAGCGCGTGAAATATTGTCCATACTGCATTTTAGCATCTTGGTAATGACTTTTCACCGTATAGCATTTGCACTTTGCTCTGCAATGGTTTAGGCACAGGTGCTTTTAAAATCTTTAAAAACCTTACACTATTTCATTGTTAAATTCTGCTATTGTGTAAACTGTTTGGTGAAGGTCTTCAAATAGTTTTCTTCACAGAGACGTTATTGTCAGAAATGGGGCTGATATCATTAAGAAGTTGCCGATACAATACATACCTCAATACATAGGCCATGAAACGATACATATCTCGATACAGTGCATTTTCGGTTCAATATGATATGATATTTCAAATCAATTGATATGGTTCAATATAAATAAAAGCTTAATCATGGCTGTGATACTAAAAGTCTTTGTTAAACCACTTCCTGTGCAAAGTGAAAAGGAAACACACCCATTTTAATCCTCAAAACGGTGAAAATGTCAATAATCAAGTTTCCTTCACAAACAAACAACTAAACTGTAGCGCTGTAATAAAATTATTTAGTAAAATATACCAAAAAATAATATCGATACAGCAGCCCACAATATCAATACTGTATCATCACATTAAACGATACGACCTATTGATATTTTGATATTTTTGCACACCCCTAGTCAGAAATGTTTCACAGTATGGTATTAAACCTTTGTATCATCATGGAAACCAAACCAGGCCAAGTTACGGGTCAGATCTGTGGAGAGGCAACCTCACTCACAGTCAGAACGCCTGTTTTTCTAGATTCAGTCATTTCTAATTGTCAATGATCAGCTTTGGCATTTTTATTTGAGAGGTCCACAGTTAAGCGTGTGGTTTGGGGCAGTTCTGTGTGTATTGTTTATTTGGAGGACATATATTGAAACCGTATCATTTGTTTTTAATAGGATAACATTTTTTTAAAATGAATCAGTTAACATAGCGACTATTGTCACAATGAGCTACTGATATGAACGTTTAACCAATGAACAAGGAGACGAAAGTATCACAGTCAGAATGCCTGTTCTTTTTCGGTATTTTTGAGCTATAAAACCACCTGTAATTGAATAAATGTAAGGTATGTCTGTTTAATGTCATATGTGGAACATTCTAGGCAGAGTGTTGACATCTCCATAGAAACAAGCAGATGACCCCCAACCAAAAAGTTACATAGTGCCTCTCCACAGATGGATCTGACTTGTAACTTGGCCAGGTGACGTCATCTGCTTTTCCCGACAGAGAAGTTTAATGCCCTACTGAGAAATATTCTTGGCAAAGCAATAAAATCTCAATAAAGATGAGCAGATAGAGCAGCATACCCGCCATCAGAAGTTAGAGAGTGCATCTTTAAAAAAGGAATGTTCCAGTATAAAAGTTTGGAAGAACTGTTGTCAGATGAAACACTGACAGACAAAATAAATCATAAAATACAAATATGAAAAAATGACTAAATAAATAAATAAAAATACAAAAATCATCATTCACTTTCATTCCTAAAAAGAGATTGCCATATAGTATATTTCAGGAATGTCACTTAATTTTAAATGCTTTTCTGTCCTTATATGGCCCAGAAAAATTTATACTACTTTTCTAATAACCCCATCATAGCTAAAAACTTTTAATTGTAATATCCGTGGCATAAAACATGATCTAATTTCTCTTGATTGAACACAGATCTAAAGTGGTCAGAAACCTTAACAGACTTTTTTTATCTTTCAGTTGGAAAAAGATGACACATCCTCCGCCGCACAGACCTTGAAAGCAGCCTTTATGGAGGTGCGTTTCTTTCTCCTGGCTTACTTTTACACAATAACTCCCATCTTTCCTCTCTGAAAATATATTTAACTTTCTGCAATGCTCGGTTTTGTCTTCATATTGATTTCATTGTTGTGTTGCTGAATGCCATTTCCATTGTGCTTCTCCAGGCAGAAAAACGCAGTCCAGGGCTTACACAACAGATTCTATTAAAAATACTGCAGAAGGAAAAGATACAAGTCAACTACCATGAGTGTCTGCTCCGGATGGCTGATGAAGAATTTGAAGGTAAGCGGCTGTATGCGCTACTCTGTTTGTCTGAGTGGTAGAAAAAATCACACAACTCTATAGACCTGTGGAAATAATACAGTTTTAATCAAGATTGAGATTCAGTCATTTCTAATTGTTAGTGGTCAGCTTGGGCATTTTTAATTGACAGGTCCACAGTTAAGCGTGCGGTTTGGAGCACTTCTCTCTCTATTGTTTATTTGGAGGACATAGTTATTGAAACCTTGTCATTTGATTTTAATAGGATAAAATTTTAAAATGTGTGAATCAGTTAACATAGCGACCATTGCCACCATGAGCTACAGGTATGAAAGTTTAACCAGTGAACAAGGAGACAAAAATACCGTTACTTCGTTTTAATAATGGAAAAATAAACAATCCTCATTCACAGGTAGAAATCTGAGTGCTCCCACACAACTCGGTGTGTGATGACGCACGCTTGCCTTAAAACAGGAGTGGTAGCACAGACCCTGTTTTTAATCCATTCTGAGTTTTAGCCATTTTAACTTAACACATTTTAGTCTAAGTATTTATGATTTTACATGAAAATGAATTGGGAAAATGAAAGGGAACTGGAAAATGAATGACAAAATGATGATGAAGCATAACTTGGACAAATGACTCTCACAATTAGGGGTTTGCAAAAATATTGAAATATCGATATATTGTATCGTTTAATGTGATGACACAGTATTGATATCATGGGCTGCTGTATTGATATATCACCAAGAGTATTTTTTTGGTGTATTTTAAGCGCAGCCGTCGCCCAGTCGTGCTTTTTGGACACCCTGCTCTCCCTTGGGCCTCCCTCGGGCCTCCAGCGGGTCCCGACGCAAAACAGTGCGGCACAGGACACATTTTGAAAGCTCATTGTGGGCACGGGAGGGAGAGAAACTGCACAATGCGGGAGCAGGCAGGAGGGATAATAAATTGCATCCTGCAAACTAAATATGAGTGTAAAGTAAAAAATACAAATGATTCACATTTGTCTATCATACATCATTTGTGCTGGATATTTTATTTGACTTTAATAAAAACATTTTAAGCAGCCTAAACTTGCGGATGTGGTCTAATCTTGCGCACATGTTAGACAATTCCTTTCACTTCTCCGTGTTTTATAGAGGTTAAGATTTGTGGGCGGGAGCGGGACAAAATATCGCTGATGTGGGCGGGAGAGGGAATGAAAATTACAATTCTTTGCGGGAGGGAGCAGGACTGAAAATTCTGTCCCGCACAGACCTCTTGCTCGGGGTTCTCCCTCTCTCTCTCTCAAATCCAAGATTAGTCCTGGTTTAGTCCTGGTTTAGACCAGGTTTAGTCCTGGTTTAGTCCTGGTTAAGTCTTGGTTTAGACCAGGTTTAGACCAGGTTTAGACCAGGTTAAGTCCTGGTACAGTGGGCTCAGATGTTTTTCCCTACTCTAAGGGGAGGCATTCACTCTGAAAACCCCTGATGTATTATATTATTTTTGGTACATTCACTTTACCAATTTCTGCATACAAACAAGCCACCACAGTATGCTATATGACTGGCATGTGAATTAAACAATGTGAAAAAACAAAACAAAACAAAACAATAAAACAGGAATAAGTACTAAATAAAGGCAAAAGTACACATTTAAATATTTTTAGTCATTATTTTTATTCATGCATGTAAAGAGTGGTGTTTGGAGGTGCTCTAGTGCTGTTGACGCCTGAGCCTCCTCCACTGCTGCTCCACTATGGCCGCTCCTTTTGGGCGGCTGAATCCCTGTCCTCTTTCACGGACACGATGAAGCTTCAGGAAATGGAGCTTCTCTTGTTCTGAATAAAGTTCAGAAGTCAGCTCCTGCACCCTCCAGGACAGTTTCTCATTTGCTTTGGTGGTTTGATCTCCACCAACATCATCACAAGTGGTTTGACTCGCCACTGCAAGTTCTTTAAGTTGTTCTTTCAACTTCTCATTGACTTTCCTGGTGTTGAACAGCTCTTATTTGAGCTCTACTTTGTCTGCCACTGACTTGTTGTACAGACATCTTATTTCTTTGTACGCACTAACTTCATTTTCCAGCTCTTTCTCTTTTGTCAGGAGGTTAGCTTTGAGCTCTTTCAACTCCAAGTCTTTTTCATTCGTTTTTTCCTTGACTTTTTTGAAGTTGGCAAACTCTTGCCTGAGTTGTACATGCTCCTGTACTTTAACATTATACAGGACGTGGATCTTTTTATGTGTGTTCTCTAGATCTTGTAGTTCCTTTTCCTTCTTCTGGAGAGTAGCAGTAAGTTTTTGCAACTCCAAGTCTTTTTCATCAGACTTTTCTGTGACTTCATCGGAGTTGGCCAGCTTTTGTATTAGCTGCATATGTTCCTGTGTTATAGTAGTATATAGGTCACGAAGGTGCTTATGTGCGCTAACTTCTTTTTCTAGCTGTTTGTCCTTCTCCTGAAGAGTTTTGGTGAGTTTATGCATATTGCATATTTTGCTCACCTTTCCCATGACTTCATTGGAGTTGTCCAGCTCGTGTTTTAAGTGCTCATTTTCCTGTACTTTAGATTCATACAGGTCCTGGAGCTGCTTCTGTGCTCTAACCTCTTCTTGTAGTTGTTTGTCTTTTTCCTGAAGAGCATTAGTGAGCTCCAAGGCCTTTCTTTGGCCATCTTCCCCTCAGTGTTAAACTTGCAGTCCAAAGCAAAGTTCTTTTTGATCTGATCTGCAAGCTGGGCCCTTGTCCGCTCCAACTCTACACACAGCTCTCTGACCAGAGCGCTGTCCTCCAGGGGTGGAAGTTCCTGGACTGGACTTCTTTCCTCAGGGTTTGAGGAGTTCTGGATGTTGGGAGACACCAGTTGGGTCTCTGCTGGCTTCTGAACGCCGCCTGATGGTGTGGGGCAGAGCAGAGCCTCCAGGTCGAAGTCCTCGTAGTAGAGGTGGGCGTCATCCTCTAATGTATGGAGGTGCCAGGGTTTTGAGGAGAAAGTGTTCGAGCTGTCCATGTTTGTGTGCGTCTTCACCAGTGTCCTGAGAAGTTGTGTTTGTTCCAAAAGTGTTCGTGCCTTTTATAGGGCGCAAAAGTCACATGATGTGACATATAGAATGTGACATCATCTCCATGCTGCTGGGTCATTGGCTGACACAAGATGTCTCCATGATGGAATCTTGATTTTGATCTGGTTTGATCTGGTTTGATCTGGTTTTGATCTGGTTTTGATCTGGTTTTGATCTGGTTTTGATCTGGTTTAGTCCTGGTCAAACTCAAATTTTAATCATGGGTTCACACCCCGACCCTGAACAGATTGATGTAAGAAAAGTGGGAGCAAAGGCACCCCCTAGCAATTTGCACAAACTTTAACCGATTTCACTCAAATTTTAATCGTGGGTTCACACCCAGACCCTGAACAGATTCTTGTAAGAAAATAAAAAAATGCGTGCAGTAGAGCACCCTAGATATTTTGAACAGAGCAATAACGTTTTATTTGTCATTTACATAACATTTGGTATACACATTTCTGACATGGTCTCGATTAAAAACCTCAGTGATGCCCACACCCCATTTACATGGTGTTGCCATGGCAACAAGCACAAAATCTGCTCTTGCCAATGAGATGTCCTTACACAAAGTTTAAAAATAAATAAATAAAATTTTGTAGCCAGATGCATCTTGGCAAAAGAAACAAAAATGTATATTGCAACCACTCCTGTTTGTTTTAATAAATACATGCAAAAATTATGTAAAATGTAAGGGTTAGGTTAAGAGTTAGGGCTAGGGTTGGGGCTATGGGGAGGATTATGACTAGGGTTAGGTTTAAGCTTAGGGTTATTAGGGTGAGGCACAGCATTTGCAGGGCGCGTGTTTGTGGGGTGCGGCGTTTGCGGGACGAGGTGTAGGCGCATGCGAGGGCTGATCATTGCCGCTTGCGGCTATATTTGTTGTTATTTTTGTGTAATTTATTTTCATATTTTTTTTCTGAAAATATTTTTAATAGAGTTACATAGAGTTACATCTGGAAGAATTAATCAATCTCCAAACTGAAAACAACAATGAATCAAATGATCTATTGTAATTTGCTCTAGACTGACATTCAAATGCATTTTCTCAAAGGCATTTCAACAGGCTGGATCATTACTGAACTGAGACTTTTTCTTTTTCCACCATGACCCACACAGTATTAAAATGTAACACTAGGTGGAGCTGTTTCTCCACTACAGAACTCCCCTCTGTTTCCAAATGGCTCTCGGCCTCACTGTGTAATTGAATTTCTTGGGCCAGTGTGTACAGTGATTGATGGCTGGAATGAATTAGCATGTGCATATAGATTTGAGTGAAAGTTCAAAAGCATGGTGGTTATTATGCCTTTACTTTGTTTTAGACTAGAGGAAGGTAATTTATGTGCATACAAAATACATGGGTAACCACATTAATACTGCTATACTACAGTAATGGAATAACACTGGTGTAATTGAGAGTCTTGAATCTACATACTGTGTGAACTGAGCACATCGGACGACTGTGTAGCTGCCATAAAATTGGTTGTACAATTTTGGACAGTACTCAGTTTTCTGTATTCACATCTGTTTCAAATACTCATAGAATCTCATAAATGTGACAAGTGATTTTGTAATGATAGTAGTGCTACTTTAAAGGTGAATTTTGTAACTTTTGTACCTACTTTTCTCCATGGAGATGTCATTACTTTGCCTGAAATGTTCTACAATATGGCATTAAACTTTTCATTCATGCCTTTAACTGAATATATTTTAATATAGTGAAAAAATACCTCAGAAAACATCTTATTGTGAGTGTGGTTGCCTCTCCACAGATGTGAATTTGGACTAATTTTAATGCAATACTGAAGAACATTGCACGGAGACAATCACTTGGTAGAACCTCCACTAGAAAAGTTACACAGCGCACAACAAAATGTTATACAACAGCTTTTGCCTTTTGTTTTATCCGTCTCCTTATTTGCATGCGCTGCTGATCTCAAATGTTTGAAGTGTGTGTTTTTCTCTGGTTTGTGCAGCTCTGATGATTGACAGGAAGGAGCCAGAGCTCCAAACCCTGAATAAGAAAGCCCGCGCTCTTAAACGTGTCCTCAGCACCGTCCCCGACGAAATCCAAGACAAAGTGCGCTTCCTACAGACCATCAAGTAAGCGCTCCACATTTAGAACATTGAACCTATGATATAAGAGTCAATAAGGTAGACTTTTTTTTTTTCTTAATGACACCACAATGCAGAGGTGGGGACTCGTGGGTGGGGAAGGTGGGGAAGTCGTAACTTGGACTTGAGTCAGACTTGAGTCACTATTTTAGGACTTGAGACTTGACTTCATAAAATGGACTAAGACTTGGGACTCGACTTGGACTTTAAGGTCAGTGACTTGGGACTTGACTCGGACTTGAGGCCTGTGACTTGAGAAGACTTGATGCTTCTCCTAAAAAGTGTTTTTAGAAAATACTTTTCTCTTAACAGTTGATGAATGCGGTACTTAATTTTAAACTGGAACATGTCCCTCCCACTTCTGTGTTTGCTACTATGGCAACAGTAACTGAAGTAATGTGATATGGTATCCTCAAATGCACTATAGTAATATACAGTACGATGCAGTATATACAGTACAATACAGTAAACCAGAGGGAACTACACAGAACATGATCCTTCCATCTCAGTGCAGATAACATGATAAAATAATTGTTTTTAAGCACTTTTAAATCTGAATCCTTTCTATTCTGACCATAATGATTCACACTAAGATCTTGTCAAGACTTTTTTTTTTTTTTTAAATTGCATTTCTACAACTCTTATTTAAATACTCTTACATAAATATACCATGACTTTTTAAGTACAATTTAGTTTAAAATTCATATAAATTGCAAAAATCTAAGATGGTTTAAAGACTTGAAATGACTTGAAGCTCAGAGCAGACAACTTGGACTTGACTTGGATTTATCGACCAGTGACTCGAGACTTGACTTGGACTTGCCTGTTTTTGACTTGGGACTTGACTCAGACTTGAGGTCAAAGACTTGAGACTTACTTTAGACTTGGAAAACAACGACTTGGACCCACCTCGGCCACAATGTGATGTTTCTTGTCTGAAACGTCACATTGTGGTGCCACTAAAATAAAACTGCAGTGTGGATCTGTTTTTTTTTTTTTTTTTTCTTTTGCACAGTTTTTGTCTTTGGACCCAGCATGAAGTCACAACTTTTACTGGATGTCAAGGCAACCTGTCAGTGCTGTGCCAATGGGCTTTTTTCTGGATTCAAACTAACATAACCTGCAAACTCCACACTAGGGTTGTCAAAAGTATTGAAAATCAGATACTAATCGATACTAAAACTAATATCAAAACTAAATACTCAGGACACAATTTGAGCTTTCCACATTTTTAGCGTCAATTTTAGATTTACCATAACTAGTGTAAGATCTCATGCTAAAGAAAGTAGTATTATTATCATCTTTGTGGTATCGTATCGAGTACTGAGTGAATTCCTTAATATCGAAATTGAGTTTAAAATTTTATCATAACAGCACTACTCTACACAGAAAGATCTCCCATTTTTCAGCGGACAGAAGTGCAGAACCTGTTGAGATACTAAATTGTAAAATAAATGACAAAAGCGACCTTTACCATACCACTCCGGGGCACGGGAGGCTGAGCAGGTCATTTAATAGCTAAAAGGTTGGAGGTTCAATCCCCGCTCTGCTCAAGACAGACGGCCGTTAGAGCATAAATTTAAGGTCTTCCCTCAGCAGCAGTGGAGAAGAGCAAACTTTCAATCCACTCCACTTTATTTATGTAGCACATGACAGTTTCCAAATACATTAAGACAATAAAAGAGAGTAAATCATAAATAAAAGCAACAAATAAAAATGCGAAAATGTGAAAATGCATAAAGCTAAAAATGTGATAAAAATAAAAAAAACATTGGTGAAAATCCACTATTCTCAATGCTGACAAAAAGAGCGGGATTACACCAGATTCTGAACATCATTATAACCTGGTTCATTTGATCTTTGAAAGAAATTTTGAAATAAAAAAACACTGATTTGTCATGTTTCCCGTATCAAAGTCAGTAAGAGTTTGAGCCAAGTTACTTTCTCAACACGGAAAGTTTATTTGAAATGAAATCCGGGATGAGACGACACCTGATCAAACATTTTATATTCTCTCACTCTTCCAGGGACATCGCTGGTGCCATCAAGGAGCTGCTGGACACTGTGAACGCCATCTTCAAAACGCACCAGTATCAGAACAGACGGGTATGAAAATGCACACGTGTACCAAATGATAACGTAATAACAACCAGAACTGTAATAATGGCCAATAACATGATAAATTTGGCTGATTTTAAATGTAATAAGCTTATGTTGTAATAACCGGCCAATTACGTAATACAAAAAATAACAAGTATTACATTATTGGCTGCAGTTATTATATTATGACATGTTTTTTCCCTTTCCCAGATAATAATGTATGGTAATAAATTATTATTTTATTGGCACAATGTTATTAAGTTACTGACTAGCTAAAGTTATTACATTATTGGCTGATTATTACTGTGAATGTAACAAGATGCAAATCTCTTTGTACCGTATTTTCACAATATGCATACGATATTTATTGCGAGATTTTGTGGAAGCTAACAAAACTATTACTTTTTCCTCTTAAAATGCCTTGACAAGATTTTACCCAAAGAAATAAAAGATAAAAGTGCTTAGAATAGTTTTTTTCCCATGTAGTCTACACTGAAATGGAGCAAAGGATCATGGTCTATGTAGTTCCCTCTGTTTTTTTTCTTTAGCTATTACTTTAAACAAAAAGACTTGTAGTTTGATAAACCGTAATGGTCCACGATATTATTGTGCGACCTTTGATGATACGATATCATGGTATTGTGGTTATTGTTACATCGCTAGTTATTACATTATTGGTTATTATGTTATTTTTGGCCAGAATTTATTACATTATTGGCCCCATTATTACATCATTGGTTGCTACATGCACATACATTACTGGTCAAAAGTTTTAGAACACCCTAATTTTTCCAGTAGTTTATTGCAATTCAGGCCGTGCAAGTCCAACAAAGAGCTTGAAATGGTACAAATGCAAGAACTGAACAGATAGAGGTTAAGAGAAAGATAAAAGATAACAAAACACTAGTCTACTACCTCAGGAAAAAAGAACAAGATGGTGAGCTTGAAAACATGGAGTGGCCAGCAAATCCCATCGAGCTGGTTTTGGGATGAACTGGACAGAAGAGTGAAAGCCAAACAACCTGCAAGTGCCACACATTTATGGGAACTTCTGCAACAGACTTGGGAAGAAGTTTCTGAAGAATATTTGATTTCTATTGTAAAAAGAACGAGCCACGAGTGTGTTTAGCTGTTATATCTGCCAAAGGTGGACACTTTCATGAATTAAAAGTTTAGAATATGTTTTGGTCAACAGTAAACACTAAAAAAACATGGAAAAAGTGTGGTGTTCTAAAACTTTTGAGTGGTAGTGTATTAGTATAGTATACAGCTGTAAACATAAACACTGTCACATTGTGTCACTGTGCTCACTGTCCAGGCCATGGAGCAGAAGAAAGAGTTTGTGAAGTGTTCCAAGAACTTCAGTGACACGCTCAAGGTCTACTTCAAAGACGGAAAGTAAGTCGTGGCATTTCTTCTATTGATTCTCATTCTCACTAATTAAAAAATATTTGAGCCATACTCTGCTTAAGACACAAAAACAATAAATCACACAAGTGGAAATAATGAAAGACCAGATTTGTTCTTAGAAGGTTAAAGATGCACTGTGTGACTTTTCTGGTGTTGGGTTCATCACATGCTTTTCTTCATGGGGATGCTATTGCTTTGTCTGGAATGTTTCACAGTGTGGCATTAAACCTTTCTATCACCATGGAGACCAAACCAGACCAAGTTACAGGTCAGATCTGTGGAAAGGCGACCCCGCTCACAGTCAGAATGCCTGTTTTTCTCAGAATTTTTGAGCTATAAAACCACCTGTAATTTCATTTATGTAAAGTAGAGTTGTTTAATGTCATATCCATAGAAATAAGCAGGTGACAGATCCCCAACCAAAAAGTTACACAGTGCGCCTTTAAAATAGGAGTAGGCGTTGGAGTAACAGTAACAGTACTTTGCAGATTTTTTTTAACTGTGCCACTGGGCTTCTCAAAATATTGACTAGAGCTTGGAATCGAACGCCAAAAACTTTAGCCAAAAGAGCGTAAAGCAAATAAACAAGCAGTTGAACAATCCGATAAGCTGCAGGGTCACTACTAGCATCCTAAAATCCTCCATTGCGTTAAAAGTGCATTGTGTAACTTTCGGTTCGGCTGCTTTTTTCTATGGATATATCTTTGCTCTGCCTGTAATATTCCACAATATGACATTAAACAGCTCTACCTTATATTTACTCAATTACATTTGGTTTTGTAGCTCGAAAATGCCTTCAAAAACAGGTATTCTGACTGTGAGCAGGGCTGCCTCTCCACAGATCTGACCTGTAACTTGGTCTGGTTTGGTCTCCATGAAGATAGAAAGTTTTAATACCATACTGTGAAGCATTTCAGACAAAGCAATAACATCTCCATGGAGAAAAGCGTTTTGTAAAGCATATAGAATTTAAACGTCTTAATTTAATTCTGTTTATTTAATTTATATTTTTTATTTATTTTATTGTATTTTATGCTTACAGTGTGTTTTAACGATTATCTGGCACCAACAGTGAGCTTGCCCTTTGTTGTTTTTTTGTTGTTGTTTTGGAGTGTTTGTTCTAAACTGAAAATGTTGATAAATAAAGTTGTAAAAAGAAAAGCGTTTGACGGGCCCTTCACCAGACAAGTTACACAATGCACCTTTAACATTAGACTAACCGAAAATTCTTTGAAATGTGACTACACAATCCAGAGCTCTATAATTATAAAACAGTTTTCTGAGAATGGGCAGCTGCAAATGTGTATTTGACTGCACAATTTTAAGTATTGTTTACATTTCCTATAAAATTATGCAAAATTTACTGTTGTGAGCGTTAAGCCATGTTAGAATGTTGTTACCTCAAAAACATACTTGGAGATGTGTGTTGTTTGATTCAAAGTTTTGAGTAATCCATCATTCTTATTAGTCTATATGTACGGTACATCTCTAAAACTCACAATGCTCTGTTCCACCTTGTGTTGTCACGTAGTGGTAATGTTCAATTTAACGTCTACCTTTTACGTTTTATTTAGTAGAAATTAGAAATACCAGTGCAGGAATTATCCAAATGATTCTAGTGAAGGTGTATGAAAAGGTAGCCAGGCTGGCACTACCTAGTGCCTCTCAATTTCATTTCTCTTCAGCGACTACGTCAGAAATCGGAATACACTACACGGTTTGCAAGAACCCCAGAAGTTGTAGACCGTGCACTGGCCAATCAGCAAAGAGCTGTGAAGCCATGACTGGGTCCCTTTTGTGGTTCAGTACAACAGTAAACAAAGCGGTCGAGATGGATGTAGACGAAGCCATACATTCTGTGTTGGTAACGATTCCCGAGATTGAGGATTTAAAGCCGTAACAAAGAGAATGTTTGGTGTATTTTATCAAGGGGAAATATCTTAGTGCCCTTCTTCCTACAAGATTTGGGAAAAGCTTAATATACCAGTTAGACCAGTGAGCAGCGCATTACATACTTCACGACCAAATAGCAGTGATTGGTTAAATAAAAAAGTACCCGCCTATTGTGGAGTGAACGAATCCTAATGCTGCGAGGTCAGACGGTTTCCACAAAGTGAAACCATCTGATGAATCAGGGTAATGAAAAGGAGATGGAGAGCCTAAATATGCAGAATTTGTGTGTTAAATATGTGTGAATTAAATAAAACACAACAGTTTTTTGACAAGGAAACAGAATCATAATATAGATCAGAAAATACCATAATATTGTAACTATTTCTTTGTTCCCTCATCCCTCTTCTGTAGACAGATGCTGGCTTCTGCTCTATCAAGATCCCACTGTCCTTTTCAATCTGATCAAAACATTTTCTGAATCAATTGTAATTCTATTGTCATGGTTTCGCTGCGGTGTGATTGACATGTGCCCCTTATTTGCAGAGTGGCTAACGTCTTTGCCAGCGCCAACCGCCTCACCCACCAGACCAGCATGATCCTCCTCGCCTTCAAGAGCAACGCCTGAACACTCACCACGAGCCCCGCCACATGCAGAACAGCAAATCATAACAAGCTATTTCAATCACCAGCGCTTTTTATGTATCGAGTATTGAATCCAGATCAAATATATAAACTACGATGAACAAAAAATATGACGCAATCCCGGATAAACAGCTTGCACTTTGAAATGCAACAGCTGTAATGATGGGAGAAAGTACAGATCAAAGTAGGCCTATATATGAAGTGTCACTCAGTGCTTTAAGAGATATGAGACAGCTGTACAATATTAATGATAAAATAATTAGTATTCCAGTCAACTTTCTGTATCTATGGCAGTATTTATCACAGAGTCTTTTTGTAAATAAATAAGGACTAAAATGTACGAATGTTGAGATGTCATAAAACTGTAATTCTCAAAACTATGACGCACACGCAAGCTCCTCGTTTGTCCTTGTTTAGAAGTAGTATTGTAGTAGTGTATTTCTGTTTTAGACCTGGTTTAATCCTGGTCTAGGGCTGGTTTAGACCTGGTATAGTCCTGGTTTGGATTTGTGGTACTCGGAAAGTCAAACAGGTGGTACTTGGTTTTGGGCTCATCCTTGCTTAGAACCAGTATAGCAATAGTGTTGTTCCATTTTAGACCTGGTTTAATCCTGCCTTAGACCTGGTTTAGACCTGGTATAGACCTTTTTTATACCTGGTGTAGACCTTTTTTAGATCTGGTATAGACTTGCTATAGTCCTAGTTTAGAACTGTGGTACTCGGAAGGCCAAATACTTCTATAGGTGGTACTTGATTTTGGGCTAATCCTTCTTTAGAACCAGTATTGCAGTGGTGTAGACCTGGTTTAGACCTGGTTTAGACCTGGTTTAGACCTGGTTTAGACCTGGTTTAGACTTGGTTTAGACTTGGTTTAGACCTGGTTCAGACCTGGTTCAGACTTGGTATAGACCTGGTTTAGACCTTTTTTATACCTGGTATAGACCTGGTTTGGATTTGTGGTACTCTGAAGACCAAATACTTTTATAGGTGGTACTTGGTTTTGGGCTAATCCTTGTTTAGAACGAGTATAACAGTAGTGTAGTTGTATTATAGACCTGGCTTAATCCTGGTTTAATTCTGAGTTAGACCTGGTTTAGACCTGGTATAGTCCTGGTTTAGAACCCTGGTACTTGGCAGGGCAAATACTTTTATAGGTGGGACTTTGTTTTGGGCTAATCCTTGTTTAGAATTAGCATAACCTAGTGTAGTTCTATTTTAAAGCTGGTTTAATCCTGTCTTAGACCTGGTTTAGACCTGGATCAGACTTGGGTATAGACCTGGTTTAGACCTTTTTTAGACCTGGCATAGTCCTGGTTTAGATCTGTGGGACTTGGCAGGGCAAATACTTTCATAGGTGGCACCAAGAGTTTGTTTTAATATCCTGACCATTTTAACTGCTCCCTTGCGGTCCTTCTGTCCAGTCAAAACTGTCAGGTTTTTTCAGAGCAAGAGTTTGTTTTCATACCTAATAACATAAATTATCGGAAGACCAAATGAACCTCATTGGACTAGGCCACTTTTATAGGTGTTACTTTGTTTTGGGCCAATCCTTCTTTAGAGCTGGTTTAGCAATAGTGTTGTTCTGTTTTAGACCTGGTTTAGACGCGGTTCAGACTTCGTTTAGACCTGGTTTAGACCTTTTTTAGACCTGGTATACTCTTGGTTTTGATCCGTGGTACTCTGAAGCCCAAATACTTTTTTAGGTGATAGGAGTAAATTACGAAATCAGCACATGTCGGCTCTTTGTATAACTTGTATAACAAACGTGTAAAGTTTGTGTTTGTCAAAACCCAATTTAATCTGCCAAGCTCATTCCCCTCTGTTTGAACGTGGACTGTGACCTTGTACAGTACTGACAATAGTAAAATATTACACAAAATTACTTGTAAAGAAATTGTATGAACCAGATTATGAATTAGATTTGAAGTCTCTTTTCAGATTTAGATGGTTAAACTGTCAAACTTATTAAGCGGTGCTGTACTGGCCTTGTATTTCCTCCCATCCCCAATATTCAAAACCTTCCGAGTTTCCTTCAGATGGAGCAGCTCATTCTTCTCCCTGTACAATAGTGGATTTTCAATGGTGGATTTGCAGAAGCCTATTTCTGGCTCTGTACTGACTCCTACTTGCACTGTTCTAATCCAATTGTAATAGTGTTCATTTAAAAGCTTTATTATTGAAATTGCTGTGACCCAATTTTGTAAAGTGTCACCATTCACTGTAATTACCATTATTCCAGGCCGTTGACTACTCAGTGGGTTGGTTGCGATGTATATGTAACCTAGATAGCCTATAATATAATGTAATTTAGCTGATAATGTTCCACAGTATGACACCACCGAGTCAACTTACAGGTCAAGTCTGTGGAGAGGCGATCCCACACGCGGTAAGAAAGTACTGTAAGTTTTTTCAAGGTATTCAAGACAATACAAATGACTTGTAATTGAAAACAGGTAATATAGAGAAGTGTAATACATTCCTGACAAAGTAGTAATTTATCCAAAGGTGGTGTATCCAAAGATAAATAGTGCACCTTTAAAATTTCTGAAATGAAAACTTAAATCTACTGATGTCTCACCATGAGCTAAATACTTTTTGGAGGCAGTTTTTGGTAAACAAAACTGATTGTTTTAATGGAGACATCAGTGCTTTGCCAGTGATGATTTATCTCCATGGAGACTCTTGCCTGGGATCCAGAAAACAAACTTCAATACTTTATGATGATGTGAGTCTGGTGACCGGTGAAGGTCCCCATTTTTTAAGAGGTGTGATTGACAGGTGGATTAGCCAATCAGGGACATCCATGTTCCATCTATATTGGAAAAAATAAAGGAAATAAAAGTATCACAGGTGGCTGAAAAACAGCACAGATTTCTGCAGAATCAATAAGAGCAGCACAAAACTGTTCATCTGCAGTGAGATGAGCTCCTTAGTTTTACATGTGACACTGAAATTAGACAAATCTGATAGGACGATTATGTTTGACCGGGCTTAAGGTACAAAGCAAGCTGTGGGGACCAGACTCATATCAATCTGTATAAAAAATACAGATATCAGTCTGCATTTACCAGGCAAAGTCAGCTCTGTAGAGGCGATCCCAATCACAGTAAAAAAAAATGCATGTTACCAATTCAAAACTTGCACAGAACCATCAGCAGAAGCTCAAGATCTGGACATGGGTTCTCCCTGGGCATGGCTCTGTGAGGCCCACTGCTCCTGACAGACTGTCCCAGCTGCACCAAAGGATGGGTGCAGAGGACAAATATACAGGTGCAATAAAGTATATCTTAACCTTCAAGCTATTTTTTGAGCAATTAAAACACCGAATGAAATGACATATTGACATACATTAGAGAAGAAGGCAACATTAACTACATTTGATTCGGTTGATTTTTTTTTTTTTTTCCAGTTAATAAAATTTTATGATTAGGAACGTAACAATAACCTAAATATTGTATCGTCAAAAGTCTCACAATAATATCATGGCTCATCACAATATATCAGATTACAAGTTTCTTTGCTTAAATGTATTGCAGCATCAACAACAACAAAAAACACAGAGAACTACATAGACCATGATCCTTTGCTCTGTTTCAACCCAATTTGCATAATAAAAAGGCTGTTATGAAGCACTTTTAAATCTTAAGTAGCATATTTACAATTTTGTTATTGTGAAAATATTGTCTCGAGAGATTTGGCTATTGTTACATCCTTATTTATGTTTAGATAATATTACAAAATTAATAAATGCATTGCACTTTATTAATCACAAAGTTGAAAAAGTGTCTAGAATCACTTGAATGTGTATTTCAACTACAGTTTTACCCCACTACAAAAATGTTTAGCTTGTTGCCCTCTGTATGCTACAACCGCAAGCAGATTATCTTTCCTCCAGTGCCTAATCTCTCAATAGAAACCACACACACACTCACACACATACACACATACACATGTGCATTGTCATTGTGCCACACAGACCCGATCCGGCGCGAACCAAACATGAAGCCGGTTGCCAGGAAACGTGTGCCCGAGGTCTTAAAAAGTGGAGGATAATAAAAGAAAAGGTTGGTGCGTGTGGCCTGTGCTACTGTCTGGAAGGCTGAGGGCACTTAGTTAACTCTGTGTGTGTGTGTGTGTGTGTGTGTGTGTGTGTGTGTGTGTGTGTGTGTGTGTGTGTGTGTATGTGTGTGTGTGTGTGTGTGTGTGTGTGTGTGTGTGGAAGAAGAAGGCTTACACTGTTGATTACTTTCTCTGGCTTTTTCAGGCTTAGTCAAACCTCTGGACACAAACTTGGAATTAACTCTCCTCTCCCACGGACGGACCAGACGCAGCCACGGCCAGCAGGAGCACAAGGAAGCTCAGGTGGGTTGGAGTACTATTACTTCTAAATAATGTTACTCAAAAAGAAGTACAACATAGTAAACAGTAAAAAGTAGGGGTGTAACAATAACTCAAATATTGTGATATTGTATCGTCAAAAGTCTTACAATAATATCGGGGTCACAATATGTCGAATTACAAGTGTCTTTGCTTAAATGCATGGTTTTATAGAAGCAACATCTTATAATTCAGGGGTGTCCAAATATTTTTAATCAAGGGCCACATATGTAAACACAGACGAAGCAGAGGGCTGATCGAGGGCCATAGACCGGTGCTCAATACAGTGAATAATTGAAATATGTGCATGTTTAACACGTTAGAATGAGCCATCAGTCTTTATTCATGCTAAGATCCTTAAAACCACACACTAAATAAATTAAATATTAGCCTTATCAAAGTAGATTTTCTAAAAACTTGCAGTAAAAAGTTAATTTCTAATTGATGCCATGTAATTTGGGCCAATTTGAGCCAAGAAAAATTTGTCTGAAGGTCACATTTGGACCACGGGCCATAGTTTGGACATGCCTGTTATATAAACATAGGGAACTACATATCCCATGATTCATTTCAGTGCAGACAATATAAAAAAATATGTTTTTGACTTGAATTCTTGGAATTATGACGGAGATAATTCACACCAAAATCTTGTATTTTAAAAGCAAAAAAGTGTCCCATCTACAATTATATTAGCCTGTCCAAAATATCACAATAAATATCGCACCGTGATAATATCGTTTATTGTTTATTTCAACTTCTAGTCATTGTCACAGAAGAACAACGAAATTGCGTTTGGAGCATCCCTTAAAGTATCGTCCCGAGAAATTTGGATATCGTTACATCCTATGTAAAAAGTATTTGGGGGAAACTAATACTGAAGTAAGCATAACTCTCTAGGCGTAGTTGATCTGAATTAAAGCCCCAGTATTCGGTCACTTTTCTTTTGTTTTTGCCAAAAACTAGACTAAAATAAAAGTATGATTTTTCATTATGGATGTGTTTATTGCATTGAAAAGCGGAGAAAAACTTCTATTCTTACAGTGAGTGGACTTACATCTTCACATAATGGACTCTTATGTCTTCATCAGAGTCCATTTAATTTCTGCTTGTCTCCATGGAAACAGGCGAAATGGTTTGTGGAGATGCAATCCCGCTTACAGTAAGGACAAAAGTTTTTCCAGTGCAATAAAAACACACACATAAAAAACTTTAAAGAACAGACAACAAAAATTAGACAAATTCTATCTGAAAGAGCAGTGCAGTTTGATTTGATTTGTTATAAAATGTACTGTATTATCATTTAAAGTTGTGACAAACTTTTTAGCATTTTCCTCCTTTGAAGTATAAGGTTAAGATCTATCATTGTCATTTCTCCCTCTAATCCCCGTTAAGGCCAATTTAACACAGCCTTCATGCTTCCTCCCGCTGTTCCTCTCCCCCACCTCACATTACCTGACCTAACTGTGCTTTGACATCACTGGACCCCCCGCTGGCACCGCGCACTATTTCTGCTCTCCCAGTCTGGCCCTCTGAAAGCTCCGGAGCGGTGGGGAATTTCTTTTGAAAACGCTAAGACCTTTCCGCACGGTTCACGGAGGACATTTTTCGGCTACGCGGCCCGCAAAAGACGACAGCAAATTGTCATGACATTTATGTAAAAAAAAATATACATTGTCACATTTCAGACATGCGATTTGATACGGCTCACCCGGGTGACCTTGGATGTGTTTGATGATTGACAGGTGCGGGGCGTTGCCATGGCGACGAGGAGGGAAGTGGCGCAGCTTGAGAGCAGGATGAGCCCGGACGACTACAGGAAGCTGCAGAGCCTGTTTGTGGTGATGACGCACTTTTTTTTTTTTTATTACACGTAAACTTTTGTTAGACCTACATGGTGGTCTTTGTGTCTTTTTACTAGGGATGTAACGATATCCAAATCTCACGGTACGATATTATCACGATATGCTTCTCATGGTACGATATCTATTGCGATATTTTTGAAGAGGCTGATATAATTGTAGATCAGACACTTTTTGGCTTTTAAAATACCTTGACAAGATTTTGGTGTGAATTATTACCATTACCCGACATTGACATTTAAGCGCCTTACAAAAACTGTTAATTTTAACTTAGTGAATTTTAGACAAGTAAGACCTTTTATGACTTTATATGCGGCAGGAATGTTTTTACACTCCATGATTCTGTCCCATATAGAGTACTGCAGAACCACATGGTCACTCGCTGCTGGCACAACACTCAAACCCATCGAATCACTTTTTAAAAAAGCCATAAAAGTATTGGACAAGAAACCATTCTCATGTCACCACTGCACTATTTTAGACAAGTATAATTTGCTTAATTTTAATAATTTTATTGGTTTTAAATATGGATGTTTTGTCTATAAAGTTTTGCATGGACTTGCCCCTCCTCCATTACAGGATTTTATTAAAGTAAAGACTGTGAGTGGGATGGGAACTAGGGCCACAGCCCGGGGGAACTGTGACATCCCACACAGACGCACAACATTCGGACAATGTGTGCTCTCAGTCAGAGGCACAACATTTTGGAACAGTCTGCCACTATCAATAAGAGAAACTTCAACTCTTGCCACCTTTAAGTCCTCCTTAAAAGAGTGGCTAAAGAAAAAACAGACTTGTGGACACTTTTAGTATAGATTTGTTACTTGTTTTTGCTTTGTTTAAATTTGTGGTGTTACCTGCCAAGGGACTACAGATGGAAATTAGCAGTCTTGCTATAATCTGTCATATTTACACTGCAATGTTGTAGATGTTCATTAATATGCACTGTCCCTATTAAATAAATAAATAAACTATTATAATCCCAAGAATTCAACTAAAAACTTATTTCTTCATGTTGTCTGGACTGAAATGAATCATGGGATATGTAGTTTCCTATGTTTATCAGCTTGTGCTACAATAAAACCATGCATTTAAGCAAAGGAGCTTGTTATTCGATATTTTGTGAGACTTTTGACGTTACGATATCATAATATTTCGGTTATTGTTCCATCCCTACTTTTTACTATAAAAGAAGCAAGCCTAGGTTTACAAGTCTCCATCAAAGAAATATTTTTTGAACTTGTTAAAGAAGCTCTACCTAATTTTTGTAACTAAAACTGTTAATTTTAAACTTTTGCAGTGGTCCAAAGTTATTCCTCACTTACCTTATATGTTTTTAGCATCCTAATTATTCACCGTGATGACATTACAAGAGCTTTTACTGGTAGATAGAGACGTGCACATCTGACAAAAATTGCAACTGCGTGCTGGGTCCAAAGATAAAAATAGTACAATAAAGGGAAAGAGGATCCGCACTGCAGTTTTTTGAAGCTCGCAAATTTTGATTTCAATGACACCACAGTGTGACATTTCAGGCCAAACCCTTCTTCAGACATGACAGACAGAAGTTTTTACAAGAGCTTTTTACAACTTTGAGAGGCCAGAGTGGAGTTTCACTGTCATGGTGATGTTAACAACAACTAGCATGCTTAGAGCGCACTTCCTCATACTCTGTTAGACGCAGACAGATCACAGCAGACATATTTTGACTTCAAGATCTGCTTATGCAATATATATGTACTACAGCAAGACAAAATTTAATGGTCCAAAATATGAGGTTTTACTTTCTACCTTCACATAAACAAATAGATGATGCCACTAGGTCAAATTGCAAGTCAGTTATGTGGAGAGGCCAGCTCCCTTTTGCCTGATTCATCAGCCAGTTTCACTTCGTTTCACTTCATAGAAACCGTCTGACTTCGCAGCGTTGGAATTTGTTCGCTCGACAGTAGGCAGGTACTTTTTGTCATTTAACCAATCGCTGCTATTTGATCATGATGTATGTAATGCACCGCTAACTGGTATATTAAGCTTTTCCCAAATCCCGTAGGAAGAAGGGCAATAACGTCTTTCCCCTTGATGAAATTCTCCAAACATTTTCTTTGTTCCGGCTTTAAATCCATGATCTCGGGAATCGTTGACAACACTGAATGTATGGCTCTTTGCTGATTGGCTGGTGCCCGAACTTGCACTTCCGCTGTTTTTGCGAACCGTCTAATGTATTTTGATTCCTAATCTAGTCACTGGAGAGAAATTAAATTGAGCGGAGACACTAGGTGGCGCCAGCCTGGCCAAGCTCCCCTAACAAAAGTGAAGGAAAGGCCAAGGAGGAAATCCACAGATAGATGTGGCTCCTGACCAAACATCAGAAAATAGGGACACTCACCAGTGGATTGATGCACTGTGGGATTGTAGGCAAAGATTACTTGTGGCAAGTATTTGGACCTGTTCTATTTCTCCTCAGTGGGCAGTGTCCTTAGGAGGTCATGAAATGTCTGATTAAAACGTTCGCACTGACCATTTCCTTAGGGGACTGGTTTTCAGTGAGTAATTAAGTAAGTCATTTTCACTTTTCACACACAAAGATGTTTTACAGAGCATTAGTCACTTCAGGCAATTGAAGACATGGAAGCTGCTGGCTGCCATCCAGGCATTGGTCCCATCACAGGCAATGTGGCTTGCGGACTGAAGAGTTTTTGCTGACTGAGTTGACTAGGCTGCTTTGACTGAAAGTTTTGACCTGTGCCCTGGTCTGAATGCAACCGAGGTAGGACACCAAACTTGTAGAACCACTCTTGCACCAGGATGTCTGCCAACTTTGAGGCCCGTTGGTCCCTTGTAGCGAATGCCTGTGTGAACTTGGAAAACACATCATCAAAAAGGAATACATGTATTTTTTTTGCAATAGAAACACCAGTAATTGAATAAATGTAATATAGGTCTACATACAATACCATGCTGTGGAACATTTCAGACAAAGTGACAACACCTACACAGAGAAAAGCAGACGGAGCACCCCACACCAGTAAAATGTTACACAGTGCACCAATAATGTCTGAAAACTTGGTTCAATGTGCAGCCTATAAGAACGAAGCGAGTAAACCGCATACAGCATTCAGAATACATAAAAAGTGGACTCAGGAATTTATAGGACACTGGACTGTTTCACAAGCCGGGCAATGAAAAAACACCAGTAAAAATGTAAGAAACTGCACATTTTACATGACTTTAAATTATAAGAGACAGAATAGGATTGAATATAACATTTCGAACAATGTTATTACAAATCATCTAAAAATGCTAAACAGCGAGCTTGTAAATGTTGCCATGAGGGGAACATTTTAACAGGTGTTGTTGACATAGTGACCTCAAATAAAACGGCGGTTTATTATGACTTGTAAATAGTTGGTGTAGTGTTTGACTGGATGTCTATCAGTACAGGAATCAATACACACCGAAAGTTTAAAGTAACGGTAGTTTAAGGAACTAGCTGAACTTTTGTTTTCTATTTTAATAATGCCTTTATTTTTTTGGGGGGGAAAAAATATGGGTGATGTAAGCAGAGAGTGAGCAGCCAAAAATTATACTCAAAAGTTCTGCTACTTAGACTTAGAATAAGACAAACTTTACATAAAGGAGTGAGTTGTTGTACAGTTGTAGGGAGTATTATCTGTTACATAAGGGTGAGTTGTTGTACAGTTGTAGGGAGTATTATCTGTTACATAAGGGTGAGTTGTTGTACAGTTGTAGGGAGTATTATCTGTTACATAAGGGTGAGTTGTTGTACAGTTGTAGGGAGTATTATCTGTTACATAAGGGTGAGTTGTTGTACAGTTGTAGGGAGTATTATCTGTTACATAAGGGTGAGTTGTTGTACAGTTGTAGGGAGTATTATCTGTTACATAAGGGTGAGTTGTTGTACAGTTGTAGGGAGTATTATCTGTTACGTAAGGGTGAGTTGTTGTACAGTTGTAGGGAGTATTATCTGTTACATAAGGGTGAGTTGTTGTACAGTTGTAGGGAGTATTATCTGTTACATAAGGGTGAGTTGTTGTACAGTTGTAGGGAGTATTATCTGTTACATAAGGGTGAGTTGTTGTACAGTTGTAGGGAGTATTATCTGTTACATAAGGGTGAGTTGTTGTACAGTTGTAAGGAGTATTATCCGTTACATAAGGGTGAGTTGTTGTACAGTTGTAGGGAGTATTATCTGTTACATAAGGGTGAGTTGTTGTACAGTTGTAGGGAGTATTATCTGTTACATAAGGGTGAGTTGTTGTACAGTTGTAGGGAGTATTATCTGTTACATAAGAGTGAGTTGTTGTACAGTTGTAGGGAGTATTATCTGTTACATAAGGGTGAGTTGTTGTACAGTTGTAGGGAGTATTATCTGTTACGTAAGGGTTGAGTTGTTGTACAGTTGTAGGGAGTATTATAGTATGATTGTAGTCCTGTATCTCTCACTTTTTGAGCGGAGCTGTAGGAGCCTGTTGGAGAAAGAGCTCCTCTGTCCCTCTAAAGTCTGGTGCAGTGGGTGAGTTGTTGCACAGTTGTAGGGAGTATTATCTGTCCCTCTACAGTCTGGTGCAGTGGGTAAGCAGGAGTGTCAACAATGGAGGACAGTTTTCCAGTGTCCTCCTGTCCCTCACAGTGACAAATGTCTCAGCTGAATTTCAAAATAATATTATCCACCTCTGATCCAGGATTGGAAAATTACATTTATAGCTATATTGCTATCTTGCCCATTTCCTCCTTGTTTCAAAAGGCCATTTTATACTGTATGTGTGTGTTATTGCAACTTACAGTACAGTACATTATTTATTTATTTATTTATTTGAGACAGGGACAGTGCACAATTTTTGCATTAACCTTAACAGGAGAGATGCATTGTACATCAGCTTGTAGCATTAGTGCTAATTTCCACCTGTCGTCCCTGGCAGATTCATTGATTGATTGTATTTAACTGACCTTGGTTATCAACTGTTCTGGAGACCTATGCAGCATGTTTTGGGTTGATGGAGGAAACCCATCCAGACACAGGGTGAAACATGCAAACAGAAAGGCCCGGGCGACCCAGGGAACGAACCCAGAACCTTCTTGCTGTGAGGCATGAGTGCTAGCCACTCAGCCACCGTGCTGCCAGTATCACTCATTTTTTGTAGGTATGTTGTAAAAGTAACTGTGACAACGATCTCTCTCTGACCTTCTTAAAAATGTAAACTTACATTCACGCAAATTGCACATGAAGCCAACAATAATTAAAAACCCTGTGCCAGAATTTTTCCCATTTATTTGAGCAAAATATAGATCATATTCCAGCTCCTATATGATCTATATATCTATATGATCTTGATGTTTTTTTCTACTATTTTGTTCATACAATAATCCTATTCATATAGAACCTGGCTCCTTTGAGTGGAGTCAGACACTATGGGTGACGTCACACTTACTTAGTCCACTCCTTTATACAGTCTATGGTCTTACCCCAGTACAGATATATTGTCTAAGCAGCTCTTGAGGTCAGATAAATCCACTATATACCATCTGCATCTGATTATAAAGCTTTTTGTTGTCCATTAGTACGTTAGTTGCTATTAGCTTTAACCATGGCAAACCTCTGCTCTGTTCTCTGAAAGCTGTGAAAATTGCTTACAAACTCATGGGGGTAAATAATTATGATGCTCGGAATGCATAAGGTAAGTGAAGAATAAATACTAGTAGAAGAAAAAATAGTTAGTTTTTTTCATATTTTTAAGATTCAATGACAGTTCCCTTAATCTGAAAATGTAAATTAACTGTAAAACTTCAGAATCATTGAATCAAAAAAACATTTCATTCACAGGACTCCTCTGGTTCACCTCGCCCTTTATCCCGCGCTGAGTTTGTATCCGGTGCTCTGTCTCTGGTCGGCCGTGGCTCGGAAGAGGACTATGGTTTCCTTTTTGACAGCGTGGCTCTCAGTCAGGAGCGCAGTGGACTTCTCCTGGACATGGAGGCGCTGAAAGAGGAGGGGGTCATAGACTGGCCCGGCCTCTGCTCTTTCCTCTTACTTCAGCTCTCGGAAAAAGCTAAACGCCTCAGCCAACGTGGTAATGTGCCCCGCTGGAGACCCCCGCGCTCTCTACCCTCCCCACACCGGGACCCCATCCAGAAGGTGAGCAGTCTGCTGACCTCCACAAGTGTAGCGAAGGGAGAGAGGACTGGAGCGTGCAGAACATTTTAAAGGCTTGGTTATGACTTTTTACAGAGTTTGGGAGAAGCTGTGTGTTATTTCATACTAACTTAAAGGTGCATGTTGTCACGAGGGCTGGGTATCATTCAGAAGCTGCCGATACGATACATACCTCGATACATAGGCCACAATACGATACATAACTCGATACATAGGCCACGATACGATACATAACTCGATACATAGGCCACGATACGATACATAACTCGATACATAGGCCACAATACGATACATAACTCAATACATAGGCTACGATACGATACATAACTCGATACATAGGCCACGATACGATACATACCTCGATACATAGGCCACAATATGATACATAACTCGATACATAGGCCACGATACGATACATACCTCGATACATAGGCCACAATACGATACATAACTCAATACATAGGCCACAATACGATACATAACTCGATACATAGGCCACAATACGATACATAACTCGATACATAGGCTACGATATGATACATAACTCGATACATAGGCCACGATACGATACACATCTCAATACATAGGCCACGATACGATACATAACTCGATACATAGGCCACGATACGATACATACCTCGATACATACTCCACAATATGATACATAACTTGATACATAAGCCACAGTACGATACATACCTCGATACATAGGCTACGATATGATACATAACTCGATACATAGGCCACGATACGATACACATCTCAATACATAGGCCACGATACGATACATAACTCGATACATAGGCCACGATACGATACATACCTCGATACATACTCCACAATATGATACATAACTTGATACATAAGCCACAGTACGATACATAACTCTATACATAGGCCATGATACGATAAACATCTCGATACATAGGCCACAATACGATACATAATTCGATACATAGGCCACGATATGATACATAACTCGATACATAGGCCACGATATGATACATACCTCGATACATACTCCACAATATGATACATAACTTGATACATAAGCCACAGTACGATACATAACTCTATACATAGGCCATGATACGATAAACATCTCGATACATAGGCCACAATACGATACATAATTCGATACATAGGCCACGATATGATACATAACTCGATACATAGGCCACGATATGATACATAACTCGATACATAAACCACAGTACGATACATAACTCGATACATAGGCCACGTTACGATACATACCTCGATACATAGGTGACAATACGATGCATATCTTGACACATAGACCACGATACAATACATATCTTGATACATATGATACATATGATATATATCTCGATACAGTTAGCTTTCAATTCAATATGATTCAATACAATATATTTCAATTTGATTCGATATGATTCAATAAAAGATAAATGGCTAAATCGAGACTGTGATACTAAAAGTCTTTGTTATATCACTTCAGTGAAACAGTGAAAATGTCAAATGTGTCACATAAACGAGTTTCCTTTCACTAAACAAGCAACAGAATTTTAGCGCTTTCACAAAATAATTTTGTAAAATATACCAAAAAATACCCTTGGCGATATGTATATCGACACAGCAGCCCATGACATTGATACTGTATCAGCACATTAAACAATACAATACTGTATATTGATATTTTGATATTTTTGCACACCCCTGGTCATCACTCTGCCTGGAATGTTTCACAGTTTGACATTAAACAGCTGTAACTCACATTTATTCATTTACAGGTGGTTTTATAGTTCAAAAATATGTAGAAAAACAGGTGTTCTGACTGTGAGCGGGGGTTGCCTCTCCACAGATCTGACCTGTAACTTGGCCTGGTTTGGTCTCCATGGAGATAGAAAGGTTTACTACCATACTGTGAAACATTTCAGATTTCAGACAAAGCAATATTATCTCCATGGAGAAAAGCATTTGACAGACCCTCCACCAGAAAAGTCATGCAGTGCACCTTTAACAAACATATTTATAATGCATCTTGTGACTTTAAACATGCTTTTGATCACCTTGGTATTTCACAATTAGTAAATTAAAGTAATATCTGCATAATGGAAAATACTCTAGACTTCACTTTCATTTCCAGTTATGCGTTTAGGCACTGATGCTGGTTGATTGTGGAAGATAATTAGTTTCATCATATTTTGAATTTTAAATATCACTTTGAATTTTTAAATGTTTCCTATTGGTCGTTCTCATCTGTGGGCGGGGTTTACATTTAAGTAATAAAAGAGATGAAGTTTTGATGAGACTAATTCTGACCAATCAGATCGCTTCACTACACTATTTTCTGCTTGTTACAAAGCTAGATCGGATCACTTTGGATCAATTGCTTCTGCCTTGACATCTTGAATCTTTCCTGTGAAGTTTTTTCACTGCGAATTTTACACTCTGAATTTTTACAGTTGAATTTGAGAGCCTGAAAATATTTGTGTTGAATATTTAAAAGGAGATCTTTTTTTTATATTTTGAATTTTAAACACTTTGAAAATGTACACTTCAAATTTCAGCAACTAAAATTCAGAATAAAAATATGTTTTTTTCAGAGTTAAAACATTCAATGTGAGAAATTCAGCAGCATTTAAAATTCAAAATCTGATGGAACAAAATATCTTCCATAGTTTATGATTTTAAAAACTGGACTACTGAACCATGGCATGACTCCAGCTCAGTTCATGAAGTTCAAACAATATTATAAAAGGAACAGATAATCAAAGAACAAAACTGAGCAAAATATGTATGCTTTCAACACATCTCTGGGTGTAACTTGACTTTGAGCGGACACCAAACCTTGCTGACTATGAAAGAACTTCCCATTATTAAACACTGAGCTAAGGGGGGGAGATGTTGGGAGGTATTAAGGTCTTGCTCATCAAAACGGCCCACTTCTTCTGAGATAAATGACTTTTTTTTTTGCTTTTATCAATTAATATGTAAATTAAGTGTCTTGTGTAAAATGCTAAGTGCTGGATTAGAATGACAGTGGGCCGTTCTTTAATCTTTCAATCCTGATGACAGTGAAATGTGGTGTCAGTTGTTTTGGAGACGGCGAAAAGTCTGTGACCTCTACAGTCGAAACACGCTCACATATTAAAAGCTCTGTAGGCTACTTGAGTTTTACAGTCTGAAAAATGTGAAAAACAGAAAGAAGGGTTCATTTGAAAAGGTCTGCAGTGGTCCAAAGTTATTCCTCATTTTCCTAACACATTCCTGGTTATTCACAACATTCAGTTTATAAGAGCTTTCCACAACTTTTGAGACCAGAGAGTGAAGTGGTCAAAGTAATATTAATTACAACTAGAATGCTAACAGCACACCAGTCTTAAGCTGCGTCCACACAACAACGCTCCTGGATTTTTATTTTTATTTTTTTGCAGGATGAAAAAAATTTGCGTCCACACACGTGTTGGATCAGTAAATATTCACGTCCAGATGACAACGGAGCATTGAGTGAAAAAGATGTAATACATATGCCACACCAGTATGTGGCGCTTTAAACATGATACAGCCAGAGCCACTTTAAGGTTGTATCAAGGAATAAAGTGTCGTGAGTGTACCACATGCAATTATTAAATACTGAAATTATATATTTGTTTAAATATTGTTAATGAAGTCAAACATCCATCCATCCATCCATTTTCGTCCGCTTATCCGGGGCCGGGTCGCGGGGGCAGCAGCCTAAGCAGGGACTCCCAGACTTCCTTCACCCCAGACACGTCCTCCAGCTCCTCCGGGGGACCCCGAGGCGTTCCCAGGCCAGCCGAGAGACATAGTCCCTCCAGCGTGTCCTGGGTCTTCCCCGGGGCCTCCTCCCAGTGGGACATGCCCAGAACACCTCCCGAGGGAGGCGTCCAGGAGGCATCCGGAACAGATGCCCGAGCCACCTCAACTGGCTCCTCTCGATGTGGAGGAGCAGCGGCTCTACTCCGAGCTCCTCCCGTGTGACTGAGCTCCTCACCCTATCTCTAAGGGAGCGCCCAGCCACCCTGCGGAGGAAACTCATTTCGAGCGCTTGTATCCGCGATCTCGTCCTTTCGGTCATTACCCAGAGCTCATGACCATAGGTGAGAGTAGGAACGAAGACTGACCGGTAAATCGAGAGCTTCAAACAATTAATGCCTAACCACTGAAATCTGATATATATGTTTAAAGATACTGCTGTGAAAGTTGTGTATTTTTAAGGACATTCTTTACAGAGCAGCTGACGTGGGGTCATCCTGGCTGGCACCAAGCTTAAATAGAACTGGCTATAATTGAAATCTGGTGGTCATTCCTATAAACAGAGAGGCTTCAGGGAGGATCCAAGGCTTGAACCTGCTCAACATATCATCTGCCTATTCATACTGATGTTTTATATTTCTGGGTTGAGGGAAACACAGGCAGTCAGATCGCCTGAATTAAGTCCTGTGTAGCTGTAGGCCATCAGGGGAAACGATTTGACCCAGAGCTCTGTATTAGAATTGTATTGAATAGGAAATAAATTCTTTGTGATTTCAATCGATCGATTCCAGTCATTATTTCCTCCAGTGGAACACACTAATACACTGGACACACAATACTACAAAGAATCCGACGCGTATAATTGTGTATGTGTCTCCGCTGGTGTTATATGATATAGTAGATTAAGAGGGTTTGACGCAACAGTGCAAATAAACTTAGAAGCGTCCACAGCACAAACTCAGCTCCATTGTCCACCGTGGTCGTTGTTATGGTTGTTACCTGTTGTTGTGTGGAGTTTTCTTCTGGTCACGTGGCAATAACGGGGTCGCAACGTTATTGTTTTCCAAAAGCTACGGTTTGCTTGTCCACACGACAACGCAACGTCAGCGTTCTCAGATTTCTCCACTCTGGAACCCATTTTCCAAAAACAACAAAAGGCCAAAACGAATAAAAACTTCACCTTTTGACCAAAAAATGTTGTGTGGACACCATCTTATTTCTTAGTCCGCCATGTTCCAAATATAAAGTGAGCATGGGTGCGCTTCTGGCTCCATCAACTCCGTCTCCAATTCACTTTGTATTGAGAAACTGTCGCCCCTCTGTCTGTAACTGCTGCTGTCACCACAGTCACCATATTTCAGCGCGCTTTACATGATCCTGCTGTTTTTTTCTCACTATTTTGTCAGTAATTTAATTTCTATTCATAACATGGAACTTGACTGCAAATTCGCCCCTATTACTGCTAACCGATGAGCTTCATTTGACTGGAGTCGAACGCTGTGGGTGACGTCATTTAGTTACACTCATTTAGTTTACTTCTTTATACAGTCTATGATTTGAAAGGGCAAAAGCATTTTATTTAAAACTCTGGAATTTTCAAAGGATACACTATTTAATACTACACTATTTACACTTCATTCATTAAAAGGATGGCATTTATCTACCGCCACGCTTCACTTTTTACTCCAAGGTTCTGAGAATGAATGAATGTATGGTGGTATTTTAAACATGGATGGAAAAAATGTTTGGACACCACAAAGACAACGATTAATATACAGAATTAGAAGTGTAGGTGTAAGTGCCCTGGTATTGGTTCATGGACTTTGAATACTGTAAATCAAATCATGTGAAATATTGTGCTTGTGTTTAGATTGCCACAGAGTCCCAAGATTGCCGCTTACTATGTGACAGATGGGGCTTCTTCTTGATCCATTGGAAAAATAGTCATTGCCTCATCACACCAGATGTACAAGTTTACACATTTAAGTCAGCTGCCCAGTGAATAAAGACAGCCCTGCCACAGATAAACAGTCCACACTGTTAGCTTGAATAAAACTGTGGAGTTCACATTTTTGTTAGACTTTATTTTTAAAAATCAATTCTTAAAGAAAGAAAATACAGAAAATATGAAAAAAGTGGTTTCTTAGAAATAATCGTTTGTAGACTCATCAAACAACACAACCAAAATAATGAGTAATTGCAGTACTAATTTGTAACATCCTTGAAATTAAGGATGTCCCGGCCAGTTTTTTGGTCCCTGATCCGATTTTTAAATATTTGCCATTCCTGATACTGATCCAGTTTTTTATAAATATTGAAGTGAATTTTGCCCCAGCTGAATACAGTTGTTACCAGCTATAAAAGGGCCCACTTAAAATATAGGTTACAATATTATAATGAATTATTTGGGTTAATTTGTTATAATATTGTAAAAAAATAAAAATAAATAAAAAAAGTCTTAAACTCATCCAGAGCACAGTAGCTTCAGGACATAATGACATAGACAGTGGATGATGTTTCTAAATAAATAATAAATAATAAACAAGTAAAAAGATGCCTCTGTATCTAAAGGCAATGCGTTTTTCACCTTATTATTCATGTTTGAGGGCTGTAAATAGGTGTACACAAAGTAATTCAAATAGCTTTACAGAATAAAAATTAAAATTAAAATCACAATAAAAATACATCGAAACATAAATAATCATCACAAAATTAAAAAGAGGGAGAGACATTAAATTAGAAGAGTGCGGAATGAAGCACATGGCTACTTAAGATATTTACAACAAGTTAGTGCATTTGGCCGATTAGTCCCAAGTTTGGTTATCACTTTTAAGTCTCCGTAAAGATATCGCAGAGGTAAAGCAAATACAGTCTTTGTCATTAATAATTATCTGAGCTGTTTTAGAGCCTCTGTGTTTAAGCTGCTCTTGGTTATGTAGAAGGCTCCTTGCGCTGTATTCAATCTTTTCACCAAATCCAATCCAAGCCGATATTCTAAAAAGTATCTGATCGTGACACCCCTAGTAAAAGTCATGCTGATAAAAATGTACTATAAAAAACATGAATATGATGTCTCTGCTGTTGTTTCTGTGTCCTCCGGTGTGCACAGGTGGTGTACGTGCAGAGCTGGGGGCAGTACCTGAGCGTGAGCAGAGGGGGGACAGTGGGGCTGTGGGACAGAGACGGAGAGGACATGTCTCTGCTTCACACGCTGCCTCTGCACAACAGCACCGTCAGACCCAGAGACCTGTGGGTCACCGGCCTGGTCCTGCTGCACAACCTGGACAAGGTCAGAATACTGCTGTTTACGTGTGTTCTGGTGAAACTACACGGTCAGTTTTAACAGTTTAGCTCACCTGTGTGTCATTGCTCTACCTGGAATGTTCTATAGTGTGACATTAAACAGCTCCATCTTACATTTATTCATTTACATGTGGTTTTATAGCTCAAAAAGTTACAGAAAAGATACACAATGCACCTTTAACATTCTTTTCTGGGAGCCATAAACTCAAATCATTGTTTGTTCTTAGTACATTCACATCTTTTCAGGATTTTAAGTAAAAAAACGTCTCAGATTTGATAAATGAAAAGTAGTGTACACTTCCTTAAGGTTAGGTTAGTTTATTTGTCTTTTCTTATTAAAAAAACACATTGGAAAAACATGTGCCAGATGCTCAAAATGCACCATTACAGATGACATAAATAAAATGAGATACAAAGATTAAGTAGCTAAAATATTAAGGTGCTGCATCAAAGTTCAAATTTTGAGATATAAGCACTGATTTTACTGATGGCAACTGAAATATTGGTGTATTTACAATTACACAAACATTTACATTACATAATAATAGTTCTGTGTTTACATTTTGTGTATTAATTTCAAAACTGATTATTCAATTAGAAATACGTTGCCAGATCTTATTGCTAAAACTCCCTAACTCAAACACTCTCTTAATAATGTGGTGTGTCTGATATGATAACTAACAGCATCCCAGGTTTTGTTGTGATTGTATTGTTGTTTTGAATCCACAACAATGAAAAGCTTTTGCATCTGTGTCTAGTGTTAGACTGTGGAATGATTTGTACCTAGATTTGATAATAATAATGTTCAAGCACAATAACATTTAAAAATACAAAAAAATGGCTTTGATGAATTATGAAAATAGTGAAAAGTGTTAATTCTAATAGGAAGGAAGGTTTAGGCCTGGTTTTAGTCCTGGTTTAGACCTGGTTTTAGCCCTGGTTTAGGCCTGGTTTTAGTCCTGGTTTAGTTCCTGGTTTAGACCTGGTTTTAGCTCTGGTTTAGGCCTGGTTTTAGCCCTGGTTTAGGCCTGGTTTTAGCCCTGGTTAAGTCCTGTTTTAGTCGTGGTTTAGTCCTGGTTTAGACCTGGTTTTAGCTCTGGTTTAGACCTGGTTTTAGCCCTGGTTTAGTCCTGTTTTAGTCCTGGTTTAGTCCTGGTTTAGACCTGGTTTTAGTCCTGGTTTAGACCTGGTTTTAGCCCTGGTTTAGTCCTGTTTTAGTTCTGGTTTAGTCCTGGTTTAGACCTGGTTTTAGCTCTGGTTTAGGCCTGGTTTTAGCCCTGGTTTACGCCTAGTTTTAGTCCTGATTTAATCCTGTTTTAGACCTGGTTTTAGATCTGGTTTAGACCTGGATTAGTCCTGGTTTAGACCTGGTTTTAGCCCTGGTTTAGACCTGGTTTTAATCCTGGTTTAGTTTTGGTTTAGACCTGGTTTTAGCCTTGGTTTAGACCTGGTTTTAGTCCTGGTGTAGACCTGGTTTTAGCCCTGGTTTAGCCCTGGTTTTAGTCCTGGTTTAGTTTTGGTTTAGACCTGGTTTTAGCCTTGGTTTAGACCTGGTTTTAGTCCTGGTGTAGACCTGGTTTTAGTCGTGGTTTGGACCTGGTTTTAGTCGTGGTTTAGACCTGGTTTTAGCCCTGGTTTAGGCCTGGGTTCAGTCCTGGTTCAGTCCTGATTTAGTCTTGGTTTAGTGTCCGGTAATGAGTGGAATTACCAAAAAAATTCTAAATAAAAATAAAAAGGGATATAGCCCAAAATGTGAAAACAGGAAAACCACCATGTAATCCATTTATTTCAACAAAGTAACTGTAATCCAATTACCACTCATTGAAACAGTAACTGTAACTGAATACAGTTACTCATAATTGGTACTCTGATTACATAACTCCAGTACATGTAATCTGTTACTCCCCAACACTGTGTGTGTGTATGTATATATATATATATATATATATATATATATATATATATATATATATATATATCTGCTCTTGTGACATGACTTCTGTTTTACAATTTGCATGTGTAGAATAAAATATATATATAAAAACCATGCAGTAGATGAGCATAGGGCTGCTCAATTATGGAAAAAAAAAATCACTATCATGATTATTTTGGTCAATATTGAAATTATGATTATTCAAATGATTATTTTTTAGTTACACAATGCATTTATTCAACATTTCTCTAACAAAAAACACTTTATTATTGATAATTTAGTTATCAAATTTAGTTTGGAGATTGTTTAAGGCACAAATCGAAAACACAATCAAAATTCAGTTCAACTACACAGCCTTAGATGAGCATGTTACAGCTATTACCACTAAAATGTTACTGGACTAACTTGTTTGCTTGAATCTACTTAAACAGGTAGCTGTATCTTTCACCAGTAAAGAGTTGTGCTTCTATGACATGTGCTCCAAACCAGATTTCAAATGCAAGTATAAGATACAGGTATGTCAATCTGCAATAAAATAATAAAGACAATATGTCCCACACAAACAGTGTCATGTTTCTTTTCAAATGAACATCTCTTTGACTTTTTCAGGGTTTAAAGTTCACTCCTTGGTGCCTGGATTACTGGGCTGACCCCTCCCTCCCGGACCAGGCGGTGCTCACAGTGGGAGACATTGGGGGACAGGTGTGAGGCAGACAACTCTCACTACATCTACATGCACACAAAAACTCAGAGTGCGCTGAATAACTAAATTTAAATGGCAAAAACACGTATATTTAACACTGTCATTTAAGGTAAGGCTTTCTGGGTGTACGAATGTGGGGCTTAAATACCAATCTGAAAAACTTCAAGAAACATTAAGAAACATAACTGTTATTAACATTAACATACACTACTGGTCAATAGTTTTAGAACACCACACAGTTTTTCCAATTATTTTTTTTTTTAACTGTTTGTTTACTCTGTTTACTGTTGACCAAAATGTATTCTAAACTTTTGATTCATGAAAGTGTCCACCTTTGGCAGATATAACACCTGAACACACTCATGGCTCGATCTTTCTACAACAGAAATTAAATATTCTTCAGAAAGTTCTTTCCAAGTCTGTTGCAGAAGGTTTTCATACATATGTGGCACTTGTAGGTTGCTTGGTTTTCACTCTTCTGTCCAGTTCATCCCAAACCAGCTCAGTGCAGTTTAAGTCTGTGCTGGACACTTCATTTTCAATCTTAACATTTTATTCTTTTTTCCTGAGGTAGTTTTGGCAGAGCTTGGACTTGTGTTTTGTTATCTTTTATCTTTTTTTAACCTCTGTCTGTTCAGTCCTTACCTTTGTACCATTTCAGGACTTGCACGACTTGAATTGCATTAAATAAAAAATGGAAAAATTAGGGTGTTCTAAAACTTTTGACCGGTAGTGTATGCAACATTACTATATGTAGTTATGATTACAAAAGTTATTGTTTTTCTCAATGTTGAGCTGATCCATCCAATATACTGTTAAAATCCACACATTACTATACTTAAATTAGTCATTTACATTTACTGATTCTGAAACCCCACACTCTTACTCATAGATACATGTTCTTACAGACACCCACACACACTCTTTATACTTCATCTGCTGTGGACAGTGTTGGGAAGGTTACTTTTAAAATGTATTCCCCTACAGATTACAGATTACATACCCCAAAATGTAGTCTGTAACATAATATAATAAATTACTTAAGGATTACTTTGGATTACTTGGTTTGCTGTGAAGTAGCAAAGACTCGGACATCTTCATGTTTTGTCTGCTAAAAGACTATAAAAAGCTCAGTCTTTACTTACCACTTTACCAAATTAAAAATATTATTGATAGAAGAGGAGGAGACTCGGTCTGCACAGCATGGTTTAGTTCTGTTAAATCCTGTTTGAGACATAGTTTAGACCTGGTTTTAGTCCTGGTTTAGATGTGGTTTAGTCTTGGTTTAGTCCTGGTTTAGATCTGGTTTAGACCTGGTTTTAGACCGGGTTTGGACCTGGTTTGGACCTGGTTTGGACCTGGTTTAGACCTGGTTTGGACCTGGTTTAGACCTGGTTTTAGTCCTGGTTTTAGTCTTGGTTTAGTCCTTGTTTACTCCTGGTTTAGTCCTAGTTTAGACCTAGTTTAGACCTGGTTTAGATCTGGTTTTAGATCTGATTTAGTGTTCGGCAATGAGTGGAAGTACCGAAAAAAAAAAAAAAAAAAGGTATATAGCCCAAAATGTGAAAACAGGAAAATACCTCTGTGTATCCATTTATTTCAACCAAGTAACTGTAATCCAATTACCACTCACTTGAACAGTAACTGTAACTGAATACAGTTACTCATAATTTATACTCTGATTACATAACTCTGGTACATGTAATCTGTTACTCCCCAACACTGGCTGTGGAGTTGTATGCATTTATATTGTATTGTATTGTACTATATTGTACTTATTGTATTGTCCTGTCTTGTCTAATGTCTGCAAGCTTGTTTTATGTTGCAAATTAAATTTAAAAAATTAGAAAAATGGAATTAGCCCCAAAATCTGTCAGGCCAATTTTATACCAATCTACATGCACGCTAAAAAAATGAATAGGGAGGCTAAGAAACATTTAGGTATGTCTAGGAATTTTGCATTAAATCTTTGCAGCTTTAAGTGCTAATAAAAACACTGCCATACATATAACCACACTTTTGGCAAACACAGATACGCAACATCTCATTTAAGTTGAGCATTTGATTTTCAGACATCACTGTCTCTGCACACTGAAGCTCCGTTGGTTTTTACTTTCACTTTAATATAGCGAACCAAAACAATGAAAAAACACAAGCTTGTCCACCGTGGAGGGAGTATATTATATCATGCCTCCTGATCTAAAATGAGTAAGTATGTTGAACACATTTCACATGTCTAATATTTCCCTGGCTGTTTCTTACCTGGTGCAGTTGAATGCCTCTCCTGGCATGATTGGACTACATTGTTGGACGCTGCAGGGATTGAAGTACAATAAGAGTTCTCCAGATATGTTTAGAATTAAACTTAGACAAACTTTATTGATGCATCGATCTGGGAAATTCAAACTTCCCGGGTTTACATTCATTTTGAAATTCTGATTTAAATTGGACTAGGCTTATTATCCAGTCCATTTAAACTTCGTGTGAGTAAAACCTGGGTTAAATAATCTTGTGTCTGTGTTCAGGTCAGTGCTCTGTGCTTTACCTCAGCGCACATCTCCCTGTTCGAGAGCCGCTGGGTGAGGGCAGACGAGTCAGGTGGGGCATCAGACTTAATCCTGTGGGATGAGCTGGTGAGGGGAAGGCACAGCTGCTGCTACGTCGTGAGTCACCAGGCCCACCAGCCCGCGTGGGTCAGGAGAGGTGAGAGAGACAATGTGGACTTGTACCAGACATCAGAGAATATCAGTGCATTCACTGAGTCATGGAAGTGTTTAAGGCTGCTGTGAGATCTGACACATGCAGTATCTTGAGACTCATTTCCACTGGTAACACTAAGAGCTGTTTCAGTCATTTTGAGGTAACAAAACCTGATGAATATATAATACAATACACTTGTATTATATATTCTATATGACTCATTCTCATATTATCATCTCATTTCCAATAATTAACCCTAAATTGGAAGACATCTGTTTTTTTATTGCTGATTACATTCTTAATTCTACATATATGTTTGTATATTTTCACTTTTCTCCTTATCAATTATCCATTAGACTTTATTCAAACATTTACAGCATATATAGAGAGCTCTGCATTATATTGTGTAGTGACAGTTCTGAAGACGGCTTACAACTAGCAGCCAAAACAACAAGATAAATAAACCTCCTGCATTGTCTTTAAAAAGAACCCAAGAAGTTAATATACTCTATGTATGTAAACACATAGACACCACGGGGCATGCAACTATAGGATATGTACACTATACAGTCAGTCTAACATAGATACAAAAATACAAAACAAAAACAAAAACAAATATTTGTAACTACATGTAACTTAATTTAAATCAAGTAAACATATTCAGTAAAAGTGGTTTGGGATTGAAAGAAATTCAGAAAGCAGTAAGTAAGTCAGTCAGTCCCTATTTAGTGGTTTTCACAGACATTTTTTGTCACAAAGACATTCTACAGAGCATTACATTCAGCATTATTCATTCACTCTATACCTATATGTCAATTCTGCACAATCCTGATACACAATTCAAAGAAGAAAAAATTATACAGAAGCCAAAAAATAAAATAAAATAAAATAAAAAATAAAGGTGAAAGAATCACATGAAAAAATATACTCTCAATATACATAATATGGAAGTACCAGTTTAAAAATGAGTAAAAAATATTCCACACAGATTTTAAGACCCATTTAAAGCATCTTAAAGAATAATTAAAGAAAATATAGATGTCTTCTCTCAAGTGTAGTAAAGTAAAGGCAAGGCAAGTTTATTTGTATGGCACAGTTCGTACACGAAGTAATTGAAAGTGCTTTACAGAATAAGAAATGCATTAAAATCACAATAAAAACAAATCAAAACATAAATAATCATCATGAATTTAAAAAGACAGAGAAAGATATTAAATTACAGAGAAGAGTGTGAAATGAAAAATTAAAACCTTTCAGTCACAGCTAAACTGAACTGTTTTGAGTCTGGATTTAAACAGAGTCAAAGTAGAGGCCTGGCATCTTTAGGAAGACTGTTCCAGGTTATAGCTGCATGAATCTAAAAAAAGTATCCACTTTAAAATGTACTTAAATAAAGTACAGGTACGTAAAAATGAAGCACTGTCTTTTCACTTTTGTACTTTGTTACTTCCACTGCTGCTAAAAAGCCGTGAGAACAGTAACCTCCTTGTCACACAAATAAAACCTGACACTTCGTTTGCCGCCAAAAACAGTGGCCTACAAACCTGTGGGTGCCATGACAACAGGACAAACACACACAATGACACCTGTATGAGACGGACTACAGTCTGATCCTGCCCGCTCACCCCGCCGCTGTCTCGGCCATCGCGGCTTACGCAACACCACGGTAACGCCACATCACCCACACTTCCCTACACCACCACCACCGCTTCCCAATCCTCCTCCCCCCATCACCACCCTGACTCATCCTCCCCTCACTCTCCGGACCACCGCAGTCACAACCCCGTAGACTAACAAAGAGATCTCTCTGTTGTGCGTGGATTGCATCATTCGTACACGGAGCCTCTGTGAAGACTCGGTTGTTTGATAATGACTTGGGAATGCGAGGGGACACTGTTATGAAGACCGGAACGCGGCTAAAATACACATAAATAAGCGTGGCAAATGGGAAAACAAAGGCGAAAAACATGGCAGGGGCATTGAAAGTGCAGCTTAATTGAAATAGCCTGAGTTGCGAGTGTGTGGAGCTGGGAGGGAGAGGGAGCAGGAGGAAGGCTAAGTGCGTAGTGGAAGTCTCTAGGGGGCTAGTGTGGCTGCGTTTGAAGTTGTCCACCCTGCAGAATGAGTGGGCTGTGTACCATTAGACATGCCTGGTTATACAGACCTCTCCAAACCTGAAAGGCCTTGAGGCGGAGTGGAGAGAGGAACCAGGAGGGAGAAAACATGTGTTTGTGGATATGGAATCATACATGTTTGGCAAGTGTGGTATAAGACATAAAAACAGTGTCTAATTCAAACTTGTCTGCCTGGTTAAATGTACACTATGTCATTTTTTGGTGGGGGATCTGTCACCTGCTTATTTCAGGGTTCCCACTCTTTTTCACTGACTTTTCCATGACTTTTTCATGACCAAAAGCAAACTTTCCATAACTTTACGGCACCCTACATGTATAGAATTTATCATACTTTTAGGGCTAAATATGAAATGTTGAAACCTTTTCCACTCACCTTATGGTTTGGTTTTATAGTTTTTTAACATTCAAAATACTGTCAGTGCATTTATTGTCAGCTCTTTTAAACAAAAGGCGCATAGGTTTGGAAATAATCATAATAGCATCATCAGAATGTTATAGTTGTGTGAAAGAGATACTAAAATTCCATGACTTTTCCAAAACGTTCATTGAATTTACAGATTTCCATTACTTTCCCATTACCTTACTCTGTTATTTCTATGTACATGTCATTGCTCCGCCTGGAATGTTCCACAGTATATCATTAAACATCTCTATCTTACATATATTCAGTTACAGGTGGTTTTATAGCTCCAAAAATACCTAGAAAAACGCTCATTCTGACTGTGAGCGGAGTTCCTCTCCATGGATCTGACCTGTAACCTGGTCTGGTTTATTCTCTCCGTGAAGATATAAAGGTTTAACACTGTGTGAAACACTGCAGACAAAGCAATAACATCTCCACGGAGAAAAAAATTAGACAGAACCTCCACCAGAAAAGTTACACAATGCACCTGTAATGTTGCTCTATATAGCTTTTCTGGTTTCTGCTACTTGCTTGTCTGGACTTGTTATTGCTTTGCCTAGAATATTCCAAAGTACAGCATTAAAACTCAAGCTTACGGTTTCATGGTAAGTAAGTGTGACTGTTAGCTGAATGTCTCTACCCTCTCTTGCCCCATTTCATGCTACACCTGTCCAATAAAGCTTTTGGATCAGTAAAATCTTGTGATGCCACTGGGCCAAGTTACAGGTCAGATCTGTGAAGAGGTGACCCCACTAACTCTAAAATGCATGTTTTTCAAGGTATTTTTTTGCCACTGACAACTAAACCTTAACAGAAAAGTAACAAAATTCATCTCTAAGTATAATTTACAAATAAACAAGTCATCTAGGTGAATGTTGTGGTTTTATCGCATAATTGTTGTAAATTGGAGTTTTTGGCGGCTTCTAGTGGTAAACTGATACATTGCAATTATACAATAGTATAAGCCAGGGGTGCTCAATATGTCGATCCCGATCTACCAGTCGATCGCCAAGGTCGTGTGGGTAGATCGCCGTGTCTTAGTACTTGTCTCGGACTTGCGTTTGGAGTCCGTCTTGTCTCTCACTCAAGGTCTGACACTCAACAAGTGCGATCATACTTCATTAAAGCTGCTGCTGTTGGCAATAAACTTGTAGCGGGGTGCAGGAGCGTGTGGGGCGTCTCAGTGCAGCCTGTGCGCTCATTTGAAACCCGCGGAGACTCTACGGCACATCACAAACACACACGCTCCCTATGCACGGCTCGTCTGCGACAGCGTGTGCCCTCGTGTACCAGCGTGCATCACAGGGCAGGTTAAACTTCCTAAACATCCTACCTGTTCACCTGCCTCACGTCAGCACGCCGCCCCTCGCCTTTTCACGCTCTCGCTCCTTCCTGCGTACAGCGAACACAAGCCCCTTCCACAGTGCGATTAGATTAGAAGAACAAGACCAAACGTGAAGCAAAAACGAGTCTAAATTTGTGTTACAGTGTTGGCACAAAGCAGGTCTACAGCATAGAGCGGATCTACAGAACAGACCTGCTGCCACATTTGGCTGAAGTTTGCCTAATTAAAGTGTACAAATGCATCTGTGTTTGTCACGATGTGCGTTTGGTTTGGTAAATGTGCAGAGGCTGGTAAATATCACTGCAAAACCAGAAAAGAAGGCAACTCCAGCTTGGAACTTTAAATAACAGGTGTAAAAATCTTACCTACTTCCTTCACTTTTTTCATAGTTTTGTTAGTTAGTTTTAGACTGTGGGTGAGGGTCCAAAAAAGGGGCACAGAGTGTTTCAGTGCAGTTTGCTTGGCTTTGTATTAGGTAGATCATTTTGACTTGCTCATTTTGTAAGTAGCTCGCATGCTGAAAAAGTGTGAGCACCCCTGGTATAAGCATATAAAATATCCATCAATTTTAAAAATAAATAGAGTTAAGGAGATTTATTTTGTAATTAGGCGTGTGAAGTGGTTTGATGAATCTTAAGTTGGTGGTTCAAATCCAGATAGTTCACATTTTTGTTATGTCTTTTTTCACATGTGAAGTGAGTTTGACTGCTTTATAAGACTGATGTATGTACAATAGACCGTTCCTATTTCTAAATATTAACTACAATATATTGACACCATATATTTTTTTTCCTGGTTTACTTACAGAATCCATATTATGATGTTGTTTCTTCATCAAAAACAAAGCTGGAGTTGTGTTTTGTTTCATTCACACATGTTTAACACAAAGAAAACACAGCATTGTGACATTTACAAGATGGAACAGAGCATTTTGAGCTTTGGAGATGTAGCCAGACTAATAAAAAAGGATTACTCAGACAAAAACAAAACACAAACCGTACTCCTGGTATATTTTTGAGGAGGTAACAACATTATAAGAGTCAGTTTTGCGTAATATAGAACCTAAAACCATATTCCTCTTGCTGTCAGACAACCAACTGCACTATTAATTGAAGTGGACCGGAAAATGATTTACGAAATGCAATACGACATAAAGTTTGCCCTCTCTCTGGAGCTAGCGTTTGACCCTTGCTTGTCATCCGCAATCAAACTATTTACGCCATCACCGAGAGCTAATCCACTCTTACCACCGACACGTAGCATTCTGATTAGCCATTTCCAGACATAGCATTAATTGAGACGAATAGTGACGCAAGACCCATTAGATTTCGTGTAATGCCACCGAGCAAATCACGCCGGCCTAATTCTATGGAGCACTGAGCAGCGCTAACCACACGCCACAGTCAATGCGCATTTGCTTATTTGAGGTAGAAGATGTCGTTTATAATTCTCACAGGACTTTGACATAAGCAAGAGAAGGATGTAATTTGATGAAATGAAATATTGAGAGCGGTGTCATCATCTAAATATGTTGCAATGTTGTTTTTGCATCAGGTTGGAGAAGATCATATAAGTCTGATTTTCAATTTAATTCTGTTGGTAACTTTATATATACACTATTTTTAAGTATCAAAAAGCCGCTCACTTAACACTCTTTGATTATTTATTTACCAGACAGAACTAAATGCTTTGACAAAACATTACAAAGGCGAGAGGATCTGAAGCTGTGTCCTGTCTCCCTGATTTCAGAGAGCGGATTAACCAGTCAGAAGCATGCTCCATCAAAAGCAAACACGGCTGCTTACACGTAAAAAAGGATAAAAAAACAAGATAAAGGACTGAGAAACAGCATGAGCGAAACAAATGAAACTACAATCAAACAACTAAACTAATCATCAGCTGTGGTTGGACCATCTCGAGTTAGGATGGAGGTTTTTCATACTTTGTGGTCCTATTCCTGACCCTTTCGCATTTGAACATAATAGGCTCTATTCACGCTTACGTCACAAACCAAGATGATGTTTGGAAACATGTGATGACACCTTCTGGTGTAGTTACCGACACTGGGCTCACTGACCGACTGATAAAACTCACTGAAGTAAGGCCCTGTTTACACGTACACGGATATTTTTAAAAACAGAGACATTTCCCTTTCTTTGTGCCCATCTTTTACACACAAAAGGTGAATCTTTCTCAAAACTACGGCTAGAGTGGAGATTCTGGAAAACCACGGTTTCATGTTTGCTTGTAAGGTGAAATAAATGGAATTTTAGGCAACTGATTAGCCAAAAAAGAGACCAGTGTTTACCTTTTGCTCTGATGATTGATGGAGCATTCAGAGCAGGAGTCGCAAACACTTCTCATGTGTTTGCATTTGCACACACAGCTGATGAATCATATCGATGACCAGAGACGAATGAGCTCGGAGGTTAGCAGTTTTGTCACTTCTTTAACAGATCTGCGAAGAGGCGAGCCCGCTCAATAATGCATGTTTTTCAAGGTATTTTTGAGTAATACTTACAACTGTAATGAAATAAATGCTACAGGTTTGATTTAATCCAGGTGCTGCCCATTGGCCTGTATTGAAGTAGTTATGATGGTGCTCGATGGCAGATTTACACGGGTTGATGTAAAATGATGCTATGTGCACGATGTTATTTTGGACATGGAGGAAGGGAAATATTCATATCTGAACATACCCGGCTATGTGTAAATGTAGCCTAAATGTCATCAGCAGTCTGCATACGTATGTGCTGTTTGGAATCATCTTAAATTTGGCCCCCTCGTCTCTTTTAATCGCATGTACCCAGTGCGCTCGGAGATGTGTGTCAGTGGGGAAATAATGAAAACTGAGGTATGGTTGGAATTGTTGATTAGCCGAACATAACGGAACATTACAATGACATGTAGATGAAGAAAACTGGACCATTTTCTTATTTTTCTTTTGTAAAACTTGACTGCAAACAGAGCCCGCCGGAAGTTGTTATCGCATCTTTCCAAACATCTCCCTGGTTTGTGACGTAAGCGTGAATAGAGCCTTTTGTGGAAGGGATTAACTGGCCAAGCAAACAATTTAAGACCTTACATTAGGTTTGTCTTAGTCATTGCGCCCTCTGCTGGTAACTGTGGACCACAAAAATCTAGGCTAAATTACTCTTACGGGTGAGGAGGTCCGCTACCTGGAAATGTTATTGCTTTGTCTGGAATGTTTCACAGTATGGCAGTAAAGTCACCTCCCAAAAATTTAAACCTGATTGTGTCCATGGCGATAGATCAGTTTAATGTCCAGCCGCGCCAGCTTGAGAATGTCTGATCTCGATTAACCTCAGAGGCTAAGTAGGGCTGGGCCTGGTTAGTACTTGGATGGGAGACCGCTGGGAATACCAAGTGTCTCAGACGGGTGGCAGAGCTTCTAGTCATGTAAAGTGCTTTGGGTGTCTTCAAAGGCACTATATAAATCCAGTGCATTGTATTTTTATTATTTCCATACTATAGAACTTTCCAGGAACAGCAAAAGCATCTCCATGTAGACAAGATGGCACAATCTCAAAAGATGGCAAAAAGTTTCATATAGTGCAAAATCTATTGTATCTATTCAAATAACTTCACTGAAACTTGAAGGACATGAGTCGAAATAACAATTTAAGAATTCTACAAACAACTGGCTTTGAATTTTAGCGTGGAATGTGGCCTCTGTAACTTTCTTAACAAATAAAAATAAAACAAAAAAACAATTAAAAGCAGCCCACATTTATTTCACCTTTCCCACAGCAACAGAATCTCATCTATACCCTTCAGATTCTCAGCTTTGTTTTGAGCCCTCCTCTTGTTTTCAATTCTAACCTTTTGTCCGTCTCTTGCAGTGAGTTTTGTGGGATCACTGGGAGCCTTCTTGTCCAGCAGCACCAGCCCCAGCAGCAGCCTGGTGGTGGCCTGGAGGAATGACGGCAGGAGTCTGAGCCTCACCACATGTTACACCAAGAGAGGAGTTTGGGACATGGATTACCACCAACAACTCAAGCTCATTGGTAACTTGTTTCAAACCATCTAGTAAAAGAATAGGTCATACTGGTGTGCTAGATATTTATTTAAAGGGCCCATATTATGCTTTTTCTGATCTGTTGTTGTTAATGTTTCCTCATAAAAAACATACCTGGGGTTATGTTTTGCATAATTCACACGTTTAATACATGAATCCTGCATATTTAGGCTGAGTTCTTCTCTTAAACTGAAAACACTCTGTTTCATTAGTGATGTCATGTGCGTGGTATGCGGGGGTACACCGTCCACCCACTTCTCCCAATGTGAGATATAAAAAAATAACAAATATAAAATAGCTACAACTTAAATGCCAAACCAGAGCCACTAGCAATGGTGAAAACAACCTGCACAGGCTCATGATATCTCCAGTACTATCCTAGAGTGACCTGTGAGATGAGGGGACCAGGACCGGGCCGGGACTAGACCGGGACTGAACCGGGACTGGGACAGGTCTGGACTGGGTCTGGACTGGAACTGGACCAGAACTAGACCAGGACTGGGCCCGGGGGTGCGCCCACGTAGACCCTCGCGTGACCGCAGGAGAAAGAACCAGCTCAGAGCTCCCCGCCCCACAGAGCCAAGCGCAGCCGACGCCCAATCGCACTTTGAGGACGCTCTGCTACGCGGGCTCGGGGTTCTCTCTGTCTCTCTTTCAACTCCAAGATTGGTCCTGGTTTGATCCTGGTTCAGTCACAAATTGCATACCCCCACTTAAAAAATCCTCACTACACCACTGGTCCAGTGGTAATACCACAAGTGCTCCATAGTATTTTTAAACTCCATTCACCTTCACTAGAATAAGTTGGATATTTTCAGCCCTGGAATTGCCAATCTCTACTGAACTGAAGCTAAAAGGGAGCTGTTAACTTGAAAACTACCTCTTCATGACATCACAAGGTGGAACAGAGCATTTTCAGCTTTGGAGATCTAGACAGACTAATATAAAAGGATTACTCAAACAACTGCATGAAACAAAACACAACTCTGGGTATATTTTTGATGAGGTAACAGCATTATAACATGGCTTAAAGCTCACAATTGTCAATTTTATGTTATATAGGACCTTTAAAGTGCCCCTTTATTCTTTAACATAAGCATGTGCATCTATTAGCATTTGAGAAGTTATTACAGTTTAACCTTTTGAATACGTTTGGCATCACTAGCATGTTTGATTGCCAGAATATTTTGCAGTATGGCTTTAAAATGCCAAGGATATACTGTCAGACGCAGGTACTGTAGCTTTTTATGTGAACTTCTTCATGTGCAACGGACCACACACCATCGTAAAACCACAGGTGGCAGGTATTTGTAGTACTAAATGAATATTAATCTGCAGGAAAAGAAATAACATTATTAGCTGTAATCCCCATACTTCATAATTATCATCAGAATCAGTCCTGAGGCGAGTGTAAGAAGAGTGACTTGCAGTAAAAGGCAGGTCCGTGCGAGCAGACTGCCTGTGGTCCCTGTAATGAATGCTCTAATGTGAGTGATGGTTCTGCTTGTAGCCACAGCGGGAGTGGATCATCAGGTGCTCCTGTGGAATCCGTACGTGACCTCCAAACCAGTGGGGGTCCTCAGTGGGCACGACGGACCTGTCACCGCCGTGTGCTTCATGCAGAACAAGCAACAACAACTGCTCAGCTGCTCCAAGGATAAGGTACATGGATGATCATATTTGGCTTCTTGTACTATACACGTAAAGAGGGATATTCTACTTCTATAGGGTATTAACCAACTCTCATATCATATTTAGATCACCATGTTACCTTTTTATGGTTTTGAAAGTTATAAATTCACCGAAAACAACGTGTTAACTTGTTTTACACAAAAAAAATTTTTTGTTTACATCCGACTTTTCCGCATGTGCACAGTGGCTGGTGGCAACAAGTCAGTGGGGCGGCTCGTTTGTGTTGACAGTTGCGTAGGTCTGTCATTAGATAACTCATCTTATTTTGGTGTAGGTTTTGCATTTAATTGTTTTGACATGACTTCATCATCTTACTCTAAGTCAATGAATGCTGAGGATCAAAAGCGTTACTCTGAAAAGTTAAAACTCACTGATAACTGTTGACGATGTTGACGTTGTACGCCGATAATTGCTGGTGTTGTACTGTTGATACGGACGCTTTTTCTCTACTGAAATGGCTGCTGCCCTGGACGTGACACCATCATGTTTTCTCGTAGAAGTTTCATTTTAGGTTTTTAGTCTAAAGCAGGGGTGGACAAACTTCTCGACTCTTGGGTCACAAAGGGTTCTAACATTTGACAGAAGGGCCGGACCAGGAGCAGATGGATAGAGTTTTTGGTAATCAATCTCATAAGAGAAAAAAATAACATGAGACATGTAGAAAATATCCCATAATTAAAAATAATTACAACAAAATATCTGTCTTTCAAATCCTACGGTATTTTCTATTTACTGAAATGACTTTGAAAAACACTGAAAATTATTATTATTGTTCTTCAAGTTCGGAGGGCCAGATTGAAAAGATTAAAGGGCCGCATATGGTCCCTGGGCTGTAGTTGCCCACCCCTGGTCAAAAGTTACTCCCCCTTCACAGAACTATCAATGACAATTGGCTAATGAAGGTGCTACAAGTCGCATCAGGTTTGTAAAGCTGTTGTGTATTGTTTTGTATCATGCTTTTGTATATATATGGTGAATAAGAGTTTGAATAGACCCGGGAGAGATCGCTAAATTCTCCAACATGCAAGATGACATTATGTTTTTGAGGGAAAAACATTATAACATAGTATAAAGCTCCAAAAATACTGATGTTTTGGAATATTCCAAATAAAAATTCCAGCTTTAATCTTTGCAGAACTGAAAAATCCTCTATGGGCAATAATATGTAATACCGAAGAGGAGCAGCTAAAGTGAAAAATGTTAAAATGCAGATTTTTGTTATAAAACAGAATTCTTGGGTCTCGTCATTAATATAAATGATCAGGTTCAACATTTGTGCTACTGAATATTTCATGCAAAGTACAATTTTATCAATAGGGAAAAGTGTCTCTTGACCCACATCTGGGATCACATTTTAGAAAATGACTTTCCGAGTGGAAGTTGCACACGAACACAGCACAAAGTCGTTTACTCAAGTCAGAGAAATGGAAATTCTGGACACAGAGTTTATCAGTGGGAGTCATAATAGAATTCATAACAAATAAGACAGATTGCAAGATAATTTGTATCAAGTGAACATTAAGTTTGGGATAACTACTGTTTCTACTAACAGTTTCTACTCAAAATACTGAATCACAAACAGATACAGAGTGTGTTCTCAGCGTCTGACCAAAAGCACATGAGCACACAGAGGGCAGCCCTCGAAGAAATCTCCCATCCCGGCTGTCCAACATGCTCATGGAAGTGGCATACAGACATCGGAAAAGCGTGTGTATTTTAGAATGACTGGATAGGAGGTCCAGAGGGAGACTAAGGCTACATTCAGACTGCAGCCTGAAGTGACCCAAATCTGATTTTTTGGCTTCTATGTGACCTGTATCTGATCTTTTAATGACAGGTCTGAACGACACAGATACGATTTTTTCAAATGCGACCCAGGCCACTTGGATATGTGGTCCTGAAACCGATACATATCCGATCTTTACCTCCGCCAAGGAGGTTATGTTTTTGCCGGCGTTTGTCTGTCTGTTTGTTTCTTTGTTTGTCTGTTAGCAACATAACTCAAAAAGTTATGGACCGATTTTGATGAAATTTTCAGGATTTGTTGGAAATGTGAAAAGGAAGAAATGATTTCATTTTAGGGGTGATCCGGAAGAAATCCTGGATTCTGGATCACTTTGAAATTTTTGTTAACATTGTGGTAAATGGGGCCAAAAATTTTGTTTCTCAATATCTCGGTTAATTATTGACCAAACCCCATGAAATTTGACTCAGGGATGGACAATGGGATCCTCTTTCATATTCCAAAGGCCGATCCGGATCTGATCCAGAAGACTGATTTTATCGCAATTTATATAAAAAATGGGGGTAGTCCTTGGCGGAGGTCTGCGCTCTCTGAGTGCTTTTCTAGTTTGACATGCGACTTCAGTCTGAACGGCCAAAGCACATTCATCTGACATACACGTTATCAACAAGCCACAAACGTCACTATTCTGCACTGAAGTAGGTGAAAATTGTTAATTAACTCCGTGTCACTGAAGCGAAGCACATCACCACTCACCACTCTTGGCTACGTCTGCGCACCCACATGTTCTTTTCAACAGACGTTGCTGCCGCTGTCCCACAAAACACCACGACCAAAAACCTCGTCCTTCTCCTTCTCAATCTCCTCCTTAGAACAAGTAAGTTGTTCATGTTCTGGCTCCGGTACGAGAGGAACTTTAAAATCACCATGTGCTCAATGCTCGCGTCCATGTTTGGACAACTTTCGTAAACACAGAGCATACTCGCTGCGCTTGACGTCATCGTGTCTCCAGTGCACATGCGGGACACTTTCGGGCCGTTTAATGTTCACACTGGAGTTCACTTACAAGTCGCATTTAATTGGAAATGTGGCCGACCTCGCAAAAACATCGGATTTCACAAAAAAATCGGAATTGAGCATTAAGCGCTGCAGTCTGAACGTAGCCTAAAAGAAGCGATATATGTATAAGTACATGTATAAGCTTTGAAAAATGACATGAAGTGACTTTGAGAAAAGAAGACGCAGAAGAGAGGGCCAAGCCAACAGCTAACATCTGTCACATAGTACACTTTTGTTATTAGCTGACAAAAAAGTAATAACAATTATTAATTATTATTCATCAACACAGAAAACAAAACAAATTATTCATTTAATTAAATTTAAATTAAAACTTTAATTGGCATGATTATTTTTTTCCTTTTTAATTAAAGCTGTACCACACGCAGATGCTATTGCTTTGCCTGGAATGTTCATAAGTATGGAACTGAACTTACCCATCACAGCAGAGTTACAGGTCAGATCTGTAGAGAGGCGAGCTCATTTACAGCAAGAATGCATGTTTTTTACTTATTTTGGAGCAATAAACATACGCATAATGAAATAAATGTAAGATAGAATATAACAGGGTATCCCCATGTTTGACTACCCCAAATTTAAGGCTTTTTAAAGACCTTTTAAAGACCACTTAAATGAAAATTAAGACCAACATCGCATCCATTATACTGGAGAAAAACTGATCCAATTCTAATAATGACCAACCAAATACCATATTATATCTAGAATCTAAGAGCCTCTGTGGATTATATCTAAACTTCCCCATGATCCATCCAACGTCTTCCTCCACTGTATTGCAGCCGGCGCCAGAACTCAAAGTATTGTTTGTGCATACTCCAAATTAGACGTTTATTCATGTTACGTGATTTCATTTTTTTTTCCCTCCCTCTGTTTAACATTGCACTGCAACCCGGTTGACTATACAAAAAAGTAGGCTAATGAAATTAAGACCATTGTGAAAAAACAAGACTTGGACAACATAATTTAAGACTTTTTATGGTCTTCATTTAGGAACATAAAATTTAAGACCTTTAAGATTTTTAAGACCCCGCGGCTACCCTACATAATGACATACATTCAAGATATGCAATAACATCTCCATGGAGACAATCAGGTGGCACACCCAACACCAGAAAAGTTACATAGCTCCATACTATTATAAGAAAACATTGATGAAAATATTAGGTGGATTCCATCTCTTCAAACAACAGAATTACATGAATCATTATCCAATAAGATACAATACTACTGTTTGCAATTCAGAGGTGCAAAACTGTTAAAACTAATACAAAATAAGTTGATTTCACAGCAGAATATGTCTCTTTTTAAATTAATCCCACTTTTGGTTTTGAACCCCACTCTTTCCCTTTTCAGAGCGGATGCCGGAGCTTGTTCCGCCTCTCCTCTGCTCGTAGTGCAGTTGATGTTCAGGAGTCTCTTTGGCTTTTCTGACGAGAATGAATATTTTAGTGGTGATTTATGTTCCATCTGCCTTGTGCTCAAACACCATCTGCTGTGGCGGGGAAACTCTGAAAGCTTTATCTCACTTTCGCTCCTGAAGAGTCCCTGGAACGGCAAGAGTCATCCCTGCGCCGTAAAGCAATCTGACAGAGTAGAGCCGTGTGCAGGCTAAGTGGCAGCCTCCGCAAACCCAACCTGGAGCCTTCTTCAGAGAGCACCAGGCCCTTTGAAATCACACTCTCAGGTTTATTTGACATTTACAGCAGCGACTTTTTTAGAGGGACCAGAGCTGAGTACTTCACCCAATGTGCGTTCAAGTAAATATGCTATTACTATAATGTAGCCCAAGCAAAAATGTGAAAAGAAAGTTTGCTTCAACTACTACCGCTGCTACTACTGCTACTAGCAATATTTATAGCGACACTATTTAAAAGGTCCCATACTTAGAGAAAATGGATTCTCTTGAGCTTTAAAGGCATGTTATAATGTTTTACCTCCTCAAAAACCTACTTGGATTTGTGTTTTCTTCCATTCACACATTTTTGAGTAACCCTGCATATAAAAGAAATACAAAAGGAAGTGCTAAATAAATCAAATAAATAAATAAAACAACCAAAATGACAGTTAAAGGGATAAATTGACCATGTTGCGTGTCAGCTTACACCCCCATACAAGGAAATACAATAACTGCAATGACATAAAATCAACCATCTTCCCACTAAGAGCTCTTAACCGTGTTATAATTGATTTCCCTTCTCATTTACCCTCTTGAAGTTGCATTTAGAGTGATTTATGCATGTTAAATCATTTTTATTCTCCTGCATTCAAGAAGTCATTAAACAGAAAATTCCAGTTTTGCCCTTCCCCACATACTGATAATTTGTTCTCAGATTTTTTTTTCTGAAAGCTCATATTGGAATTTTTCTGACCAAATATCTAAAACAAGACAGGCACCGGACTCGCATTCTCGCCTAAAACATGAGATGGTCAAAATGAATGTCTGAAAAGTCTGAAATCAACATTGGAGTGTGTGGCAAAAAGAAAAAAAAATACTCCATTCCGAACACGTAATTTGTGCGTAAAAGTGTCACTGACCGCACGGGTGTCACTGTAATTATGGTTTCCCCATGTAGAGTTGGAATGAAGGAGTAACTAAAGATAGTCCTGTAATTGATGTCAAGAGAAAGGTGTCATGGCAAAGTGCTTCCTGTCTTGTATGTTCACAGTAAGAGCGTAGGACATTGGAAGATGTGTATTTTTTTCACAAAACTAACTATGCACTCATCCCCGAAATGGTCCACACCGAGTCCGTCGTCAAGCTGGACCACGGGCTGTATGTGATGGACGTCCTCAAAGCCCAGGTGGACCAGGATTTCCGCTCCCCATAACCTGCAGAACCAAACCCTGTACCTGACTATGTCCAGGTACCACTGGCTCAACCCGAGGTGGTAGAAGACGCTCTCCCATCTCAGGTCTTCGCCCACTCCTTTGTTTGACTCCCATGACTCTATGTTTGAGACCCCTGATTTTACATTTGAGGCCTTTGACTTTATGTGTGATGCATCTGACTTTCTTTTGGAGAACCCTAATTGTTGTTTCTCCCCAATCCACTTTGCTGGCCTCTGGTTGTTAAGGGTGGAGAAAATGGAAACTAACTGAAGACGAGGGTCCTGGGCCAAAGTGTCACACACATACTGCACTCCGGTGTCTGCGGCTCCTAACTCTGTGGGCCCCTCTACTGTCCCCATTTGTCTCACCCCTACTCCTGGATCCATGTTCCCTGCTCCTGAATCCAAGCACCCAGGCCCTGCTCCTGTGGGCCGTGCTAATGCGGACGGAGCTCCTATGTTCAAGCACCTTGCACCCGGATGTGTGGCTGCTCCCAGATCTGAGGCCCCTGCACCTGGATCCATGCGCCCTGTTCCTGTTTTAAGCACCCTGCTCTTGTCTCCAAGGACCCTGCTCCTGTCACTGGGGACCCCATAGCCTTCTCACTGTTGAAGCAGCAGCAGTGGGAGAAGGTCAAGACTGAGCTCCACACCAGGAAAAAGACGGTGCTGGACGCTGCTGCAAAAAAGAATAAGTCTGAATCAAGTCTTTTCTGTGTTCTTCATATGAACATACTAATATACAGTTCCTTCTTATTTGGGCAAGAAATATTTTGTACAGTTGTATTAATGACTTCCTCTTGTTTTCTCTACATTGGGAACATCTGTCTGAAGAGGAAAAAGTCCTACACCATTTTCAGGCTGCAGAATCAGAGAGGATCTATCACCAGAGAAAGTCTTCTTCTCAAACTTCTCACCAGCCTTAGAGGTCCTACAACAAGAGGCGGAGAACCTAATCAGACAATGCCATCTTTAACTTTAACTTGCATTAAAGAATAGCAAACAAAATGTCTGTTGCAGTCTACTTTTGTATAATTATGAGCTATTAGGGTTGTCAAAAGTGTTGAAAATCAGATACTAATCGATATATAAACAGTGATACATTTACACATTTATGGTGACGTGCTGTGAAGGGGCAGGCAAGAATCAGTTCCTCAGTTTTCAACCAGAAATCAGCTCACTTTTTACTTTTGTTTTAGATCAATACTGTATTTCAATTTAAATGTCAAAAAATATAAAATCAAGACCCACAGGTGCCATTGAAACTATATGCATATAGACAAAAACATTTCTACTGTATGGTTTTATTTGTTTGTTTTTACACCACTGTTTTATTATGTTTTTTTTTTCTATGTGCAGCACTTTGTTTATGAAATGTGCTACAGAAATAAAGAAATGTTTTTCAATCCAATCCTCTTTATCACTAGCGCTCTCTCCATTTCCTTCTGTCTGTGCAGGTGTTGTGTCTGTGGGACCTCTCCACTCAGCAGTGTCTCTACCGTCTGACGGAGGTGTTCCCAAAGACTCCAGAGGACACCAGAGCTCTCCTGTTTCTACACGAGGAGAAACATCTGCTCCTCCTCTGCTTCCACTGCCACCTCCTCCTGATGCACACCCACACAGAGACAGAGAAGAGGACCAGCAGCCACCAGAGCCCCGTGACCTGTGTGCTCTACAACAGCCTCTTCAGACAGGTATGATCGGACAGGAGGGAGAGACGCCAAAACCTGTGCTTAAGGTCTCTGCACAACACCTATAATTAAATCAAAAGCTTTATTTGAGTCTGAAACAAGCTGAAATGTTACAATGTGAGGCTTTAATTACTTGTTTTGGGGCATTTAGTATGTTTGGTCAGTGTAACTTGACCAAAGGAGAAAAGAGGACCACCTACTGAAGTCTGAGGAGTTACAAGACCACTGCAGTCTGAACAACAAACAAAGCTGGGGAGAGAACAACAAACAAAGCTGTCCTTAATAAATAATGGTCAATATGATGTAAGTCAAAGCTAGGAAACCCGCCTGATGACGTACGTGAAGAAAAATACTAAATCCTGGCCTCAAATTACTATTTTGTTCCCACAATATGTAATTTGTTCCCACGCTTTAGTTAATTCGTTCCTACGTTTTAGCGAAATCGTTCCCACGTTTTAATGAATTCGTTCCCACGTTTTAGTTAATTTGTTCCCACATTTTAGTTACTTCATTCCCACGTTTTAGTTAATTCGTTCCCATGTTTTAGTTCATTCGGTCCAATGTTTTAGTTAATTCCTTCCAACGTTTTAGCCAATTCGTACACATCACTACGTGGTCGGCCTATTGGTCCGACCATACACAGTAGAGATGAGATGGATGCCTTGTAACTTGCTGAAGATAAGCTGTTCATAAATTCGGAGTGTGGGTGGAATTCTCGTTCATTTAGAGAGCCACACTGGTGTGGGGAACCACGTACACCAGAACAAGAAAAGAGCCACACTGAGGCGGGGAGCTACAAATACCAGAACAAGAAAATCTATGCCGTGTCATTAGCGGATTATAAGTATGTACACGCTGCAACTGCTGAGCCTATCGCCAGGACTACACCAGAACTGGACCAGAACAAAACCAAGACTAAACCAGGAGCGGAATACTCAAAAAAAAACAATCATCATCAACTGGGATACTGATATGCATGTATACACACTTATTCTGCATTCAGACAGTTTCAAAGTGTGTTTTTTACTAGAATTTTGACGATTTCAACCCTAAAATGACCTGTTATCTCATCTCTACAGAAAAAAAGATAAAGGTAGCTATTAAGGATTATTCAGACGTGTGACTGAAACATAACACAACTCCGGGTATGTTTCTGATGCGGTAATCACATTATAACGTGGCTAAAAGCTCACATAAGTCAGTTTTGCGTAATATAAGACCATTAAGCGGTAATGATTTAATCTTGGTTATTCATGGTTCCAATAGCATCAGGCGTACTTTTGCCTTAAATCTCATACTCTCTACTCAAGCTTTAAACTGTAGCTTACGTTCACTTTTTATGTAAATGAAGCAGCCAGCCTATCTCCACACATTTATTGCTTTTTGCGATGCCAGCTCCAGTTTTTCTCGAGTCTGTCTCCTCATAATAAAGGCGAGGAATAGTTTAGTCATGCCACTGTTATTAAAAATGCAGCGCGGGGTCCACCTCTCCTGTGCAGTCCACTATATCTTACACTTGCAATGACTGATATCTCCCATTTCTCTCTTTCTCTCTCTCTCCAGGTCGTCAGCGGCGACTCCTCTTCCTGCGTCATCTGCTGGCTGCCTGACACGGGCCAAAAGGTCACGCAGCTCCACCGTTGTCATGGAAACGCCCCCATCTCCACCATGGCGCTGGACGGGACGCAGAGCAGGCTGTTTACCGCGGGCGCCGATGGAGAGGTCAAAGTGGGTGTACCGGCTACACACACGTACACACACACACACACACACGAGAGGAGAGGCTGGATGTTAAAGGGGGCCTCATTGGGATGCAGGGGCTGAGCGAAATGCAAAAGAGAGGAGCAGGAGTGGTGATAACAGGTGGAGGAGGGACGTGCACGGTAAATAGAAGGAGCACTTGAGGCTTGAGTTTCTAGTAAACAATTAGCGGAGGTGATACGGAGGGACACAAGCAGGCTGTCTGAGGCTAAACTTGACTGAGTGTTGAAAATGTGTACACAAGTAAAAGTACAGTTACATGACAAGAAATGTAGTCAATTATGAGTACAAGTAATGCTGTCAAAAGTATGCATGAAAAATACTGCTCAGTTACGTTTTAAGGGACAGTCTGGAATTTTGGACATAGGACCTCATTTCCTAGTTAGCCAGAGTGTTGGAGACGTGTGGAAGACACTTTTTAAAATATTCCATCCAGTCCTTGTATTTGCAGAGGTTGCTGGTGCTAGGCTAGCGCATGTCAATGGCCATAGTTTTAGTTAGCCTCTAAAAACAATCTTACCCACACCACAAAGCACCTGAAGCAAATCTATTATTACCTTGTTGTAAATGTCTGTGCCAACGGAATAATGTTTGAAATAAAACTAAGCTTGCATTACATGAATCGTCGCATGTTGAGGGACTATTTTCTCAGCAGCAGCGGAATTTTAGGCCTCATCCACACTAGTATGTATTCGAGTTGTTTTCGTTACAGATGCAGCGTTCGTCAACACTAATCCAATGGAAAACAGCTCCAGAGACAGAACGATCCAGTGCCGCCAGCTCCCACGAATTCATCTGAGTATGAACCTGATCCAGCACTGTGTGGACACCTGAAAATGTTGATACACTGATGTAGGAGCTCTAGTTGCCGTCCTTATTGGACCACATCACTGTGATTTGCGCCTTCCTGATTCGCTGGGTTCGTGACATTGGTCATGTGACGCTATTGCTCGAAATTGCTCGGCTCGAAATCGGCTGCTGCAATTTCAGACACTGTGCTCCACTTCATTGTTTTTAGTGCCCACGTGACTTCGTGATGTTGTGACACCAGCCTAGTCATGTGACTAGCGTTTCAGGTGGTTTCACGTTACTGTGTGGATCATGTGGACGCAAATTGTTTCCGATACGGTGATACGGTGATTCATTTCTGTGCAAACGTATCCTTACTTTGCCAGTAAGTTGGGTGCTAGGTGATATCAGTCTGCCACTGCCAAGCTTTCTATCAGAAAGTACAACTCACTGCTGCTGCTCAGACATAAATCCTTCAGGTTGGTTTTACTTTTAAAATTATTCTATTGATACAGACATTCACATCGATAGTCTGGTATAATAATAGATTTACTTCGGGTGCTTTGTGGAGTGGGTAAGACTGTTTTTAGTGGCAGGCTAATAACTATGGCTGTTGACCTGCACCAGCGACCTCTGCAAATACAAGGACTGGATGGAATATTTAAAAAGTGTCTCCACACGTCTCCAACACTCTGGCTCACTAGGAAATGAGGTCCTATGTCCAAAATTCTGGACTGTCCCTTTAAACAGAATTTTAGAAGTGTACTGAAATTTTGTAAAAATAAAATAACCAAATTAAGGCAATACACTGCAGAGAAAATTCATACATTATATTTGGGGATGTGGGGTATTTTAATAGGTTAGACTTTACTGAAAATTAGTGTAAAAATTAAACTTTGGCCTCCTTATTTGAATTTAAAATTTTAATAAACCAAACTTGACTTGAATTACGAGTTAAACAAGTTTTGCCTGTAGTGTCTGGCCTTAAATGAATATTATCCCACGTACAGACCTGTAGGTGGCTGTGGCCTTTAATATTAAATCCATGAACAATAAACAAGGCATTTAGTCTGACATTTATTTAACACAAACATAACCCCAGATTCCTCCAAAATCTGGATTACCTGCAAACCTCTCATTTAAAGGAAAGAACCACATAATCAACAATATGATTTAATAAAAAAATCTATTCATTACTTAATTCATTAATTAATTACTAGTTATGTCTGTGTTCTCCCCATTACAGCTACTTTTTTCTCATAAATAACCATGTGACACGCAGGTGGTTCATCCAATTATCAGGCATCATTCAGCTAACAGCAGTGCATCAAGATAATCCAATGACACACATTCAGAAGTTGTTTGAAAGAGTGCAATCAGCCACACCAGCTCTGTGATCCTGTTAGCCGCTGTTCCTGCACACACGTACTAGCCTATTGTTCCAAATGCCAAACACTACACAATTCCTCATCTGAAAATTAGACATCCTTTATTTCCTATGACTAGTGTGAAAAAGCATTTAAATATTGATATATTGTGATACTAAATTTGGTGATTTTGTATCGTTATCATGGTGTTATCATGGTGTTACCATGGGCTGCTGTATCGATATATCTATACTGCCCCTCTCTTCACCCGAGTGTCCAAGACATGCGGCTAGAGGTCAACAAAGTCGATCATCAACCTCCGGCTTAGGGCATCCTGGTGCCATGTGCACTGATGGACACTCTCGTGCTCGAACATGGTGTTCGTTATGGACAAACTATGACTACAGCTCGGGTTCAGATAAGGAAGGCCATTCTTCCTGATCACCCCTCTCCAGGTGTCACTGGCGTTCCCCAGTAGAAAGATGGAGTCCCCGGTCTGAGCACTGTCTAGTACCCCTCCCAGGGACTCCAAGAGAACTGGGTACTCTGGATTGCTGTTCGGCCTGTAGGCCGACACCACAGTCCCTGTCCCTGTTGTTCACTAGGGTGAAATCCAACATGTGGTGGTTGAGCTGTGGGGCTATAAGCAAAAACCACACCAGCCCACAGCTGCTCCCCGTGAGCAACCCCAGAGAAATGGAGGGTCCAACCCCCCTTGAGGAGTTGGGTACCAGAGCCCATGCCATGTGTAGAGGTAAGTCTGACTACATCAGGCTCCTCCCCCCAGCAAAGTGACGTTCCACATCACCACAGCCAGATACTGTGCCTGTGGGCTGGGTCGTTAAGACACCCATCCTCGACTGCCGCCCAGTCCTCTATGAATCCCTCTGCGGGTGGTGAGCCCACAGGAGGATGGACCCACGTCATCCTTTTGGGCTGAGCCCGGCTGGGCCCCGTGAGCAAAGGCCTGGCCACCAGACGCTCGCATTCGTGCCCCACCCTAAGCCTGGCTCCAGGGTGGGGCCCCAACTGCACCATATCGGGCAACGTCACGATCCTTGATTTTAAACAATTAATAAAGGTGTAATGAACTCAGACCTTGCTTAGTCTGACCCATCACCTAGGACCTCTTTGCCATGGGAGATGCCCCTGGCAACATAGCTCCTAGAATCATTCAGATACGCAAACTCTCCCAACACAGTAAGGTGGCAGTTTGGCGTGGAGATTAATTGCCATATTGTGATAATATCGTGTGGGACCCTGTGATTCCCAGCTTTATTACATGACACATCTCCTCTTCATTCTTCATCAACCTGTGGAGAATCACTCTGGGATTTCAGGTGTTTGAAACTGACCTTTTAATTAGCATACTCTCACAGGGCCAATCAGAATTCCTTTTGCTCATGTCAGAATGCACAAATAGAGCTGTAAACCAGAGTGAAGTAAAGATGATGCTCTGGTCTGTTACAGGTTTGGGATTTCACCGGTCGCTGCCTCCACAGAATGAATCCAGCTCAGGGTCGCCATGTGAACATAACACAAGTCCTGCCACTGCAGAGGAGTGTTCTGGTCTTGGGATGGCAAAGGTATTAACAATCAGTAGTGGAATGTACTGACAGTAAAAGTCCTCTCCACTCCATTTTTGACCTGACCTGAAAAGTACAAGTATTTTTTTTATTATTTGCCTGCTGAAAAGCTTGAGGTTTTTTCTTTTTTTTTTTTTTTGTAATTGAGCAAACAAAAATATAAAACAGCTAGAAAAATTCTGTTGTTTCTACTGAACAAAATTGAGCACAAATCTTAATTAAAATCACTAAATTTGAATCTTTATTAGATCTCAAAATCAATTTTTACTCTTAAAGTACATTTTTAAAAAGGTACTTAAATATTTTTACTTTAGTAGATATTTTCATGTGATACTTTTACTTTTACTTTAAGTATTTCTTTGCTCTGGTATCTGTATTTTTATTAACAAAACTGAGTACTTCTTCCACCTCTGTTAATGATAAAGGATATTTGAAAAGTTTTCTGTCTTTTTTTATCTAATACATTTTTTATGAAGATAGTCTTAATTACTATAATTACCATAATTACTATAATTGCTATAATTACTTAGAAGTTTTTGTGTTCATTTACGTCCAGTCACATCAACATGTAAACAAGTTTACTTCTCACTAAAGATCAAATTTCACATTTATATGACTGGTAGCGCCTACAGTTTTGTTATTTTTAAATGTCATCATGCATTAATTATGTTTAAAACTCCCTTTTCTTTTCTTTTTTTTTTACATCCTAGTATTGAAAAGAAAGAAATAGAAAACACTTTGTGGACTTGCAGTAACAAAATTCCACCCCCCCCAAACAACTACTCAACACCGATTTTGTTAATACAATGATGAAAAAAAAACCACTTGTTATTTCTAGCACAAAATAATAGTTCTCTAAAACTTTTCAAGAAAGGTCAATTTTTTTCATGTTTATGGGATTTTTCCAGGATTGATATTGGTTTAAAGGGAGGGTATTTTACTTCTGGGGAGTATTAATTGCTAACACATACTTAGATCACCATATTACCTTTTATTATTTTGAAATATGCTATGCTATATTTCCCAAAAACAACGTATTAACAAGTTTTATAGGTTTCACTTTAGTTTTTGATGCTCTGAATCTCCATCCAGAACACTATCACAGCACAATCTGCTTGCATCCTGCTACTACTCATCACATCATGTTTGTCAAGTTGTTGTGTACGGTTTTGTATCATGCCTTTTTATATTCATGGAGAATTGTCGGCAGAGCATTGTCCAGAATCAGTTCGAATAGGACCCAGGAGACATCGCTAAACTGCTCAAGCATGCATGGATGACATCTAAAACCTCTTCAGGCATGTTTTTGTAGATGCAATGTTATTTAAAAAAAGCTTCTAAAAGTACATTTTGCACAATACCGCCCCCTCTTCGATCGATCGAATCTGATTTGTGATACTTTTGACAACCCTACCCCCAAACGTCACTGCAATCACCTCATTCCAAAACTTAAAGCACGCGTTAACTACTTTCTTAGTCATTACTTCCTTGGCGTTTGAACACTACTTTCCTCTTAAAACTGTCATACAGCTTGTGACCTGCTGCCTGGATTTAACTCCAAGTCGACATCTGGACTCTAATGCACTCCCGTTCAGCCTGACCCTCTGCCTCTCATTACGGCGCACTCCCTTGTAACTTTGCATTACCACCTACCACTCTTCATCTTCATCATCGTCGCGCTCGCCAGCCAGCTCTCCTCACAAATACAACTTTATACCACTCCATTTGCGTCCCTAGACTATAATTTTTTCAACAGTGCAGCTAACTTCGCCAGCTCCCTTGGGTATCACAGTTGTAGAGCGTACGTAGTCGGAACTGCTTCTGTTATTACTACAATCAGTCACGGTATTTCCCATTTCTCGGCGTAGAGGAAGGTTTAAAACATACATTGCGAGCTCCTACGGCTTTTGTTCCTATAAGTACCGCTTTCCAATGGCGTACAACTCATTCCAAAACATTAAGTGACGTGTTTTTCATTTATACGGTACCTGCCCAACAGTAAAAGAGCAATAAAAAGGCAATGATGAAATAGTACAAAGGATTAAAGGGAGTGAAGACGTCGCAGGTGGGCTAAAGACTCCCTCGAGACAACTAAATGCATGTTGACAACAGCTTTCATGTCTTGTCTTGAACCATATGTATATTTGTTTTGGCTTAGCACGAGTAAATAAAGGGACGTGGTGGCGTAGTCGTTCAAGAGGAGGTATTATGCAAATGTTACGCTGGTGTTCCCTCATCGAAAACATGCTTGAAGAGGTTTTAAGTGTCATCCATGCATGTTTGAGTAATTTAGCGATCTCTTCCACGTCCTATTCAAAACTCTTTGCGTTTAGCTGTAAAATTCTGTCCAATGCCAAAAGCAGAGTAGAATAACAGTGAAAAAATGCATAACACGAAGGAAGGAAAAAAAAGCCTTCGTCAGATCATTTTTCTGGCTTTGGACCACCGTATACATAAAAGCAGGGTACAAAACAATACACTACAACTTCACAAACCTGATTGTGTTGTGGCAGCGCTCTGAAGGGGAGTGACTTAACGTGGAGAGGGTCGACGAAACTGAAACTTATTAAACTTGTTAATATGTTGTTTACACATATTTAGCATTTTCGAAGCAATAAAAGGTAACATGGTGATCTAAATTTGTTATGTGTTAGCTGTTAATACCCCATAGAAGTATAACCCCCTCAAATACATTGACTTACTTCTTGTCATTCAGGAGAATTGTAAGTATATTGCAAGCCTCTGGGTCTCAAAATGGCCGCCCATTCAAGTCAACGGGCCGAGCTCAACGGCGCATGACTCCAGATTCGTCTTTAGCCTGGCGAGGTACTTCCAGTGGCTCTGGGACTATTGAGCAGTAGTGTTCTTTTCTCCCGCGGCCATGCACGTGAGCGCACGCACAGAGCACGGTCTCGTGTATCACGTGATCGCTTTGACCAATCAGAGCGAGAGGAGGTAGAGCGGAGCCGGAGCTAACAATTATTAAGCGTTTTTTAACACAACTGAAGGATTTTGAGCTGAGAAAAAGTTTATAATTTAAAAACAGGTAAAAATCACCACAAAATCCGACATTTTTGAAAGTTGTAGGTGCCCTTTCAGCCGAACACGAGCAGTTTGTGATTACATTGCGCTCTATGAGAAAAATCCTCTCTCAGCACAGGGGATTTTTTTTTACGCTTAGCAATACCCTATCCAGTTATTTTAATAGATCCATGGTATATTTTAATGGCAGCTAATTGTAAAGGAAATGGACTGGATTATATGGCATTTTAATAGGCATTTGAATGGATGGGAACCATAAAGGAACAATTGTTTTTGATGAGAACTACATGAAAGCAATTGCCTTGGATTATCCCAGACAGTTGCTTCTTTATCATTTCAAAGGAATCATCAAAATTGCATGCAGGGCTTTTAAGACTCACCTCACAGCAAGAAGGTCCAAGGTTTGCTTCCCATATCTCACAGCGCTAGACATTTAGACGTACAGAAAGTGCTCCACTGTGTTTTTAAACTCCATGCACCTTCACGAGAATAATTAGGATCATTTCAGTCCTGGAATTGCCCAACCTCTACTGAATGGCACAAGGTGGAACAGAGCATTTTGACAAACTAATAATTGTGGATTACTGAAACACGTGTGAATGAAACAAAACACAACTCCATGTATGTTTTTGATGAGATAACAACATTATTATGTGGCTTAAAGCTCCCAAGAGTGAATTTGGTGTTATATAAGACCTTTAACCAGCTAGGCAGTTCAGCTAAGTAGACACTCAATACTTCTGACACTCCATTGGCTAATAGCGATGAGTCAAATCCCAAGGACAGATTTCCTCAAACAGAAAATGATACGCGCACAAAGCAATGCATTTGATGAAACAGTGCAAAAGATTAAAGACTAGGTGGGCTAAAGACTCCCTTGAGACTAAACCACCGTACGCATGTTGACAAGAAGAGCTTTCATGTAACATCTTGTTGTCTCGATGTAAATTTTTCCCCCGAGCTGTGAGCCGGGAAGTACAATCAGAGTGCAAGGTTGTCAACACAGGATGGTCTTTGATGTGTGTGTGTGTTCAAACTCATCTCTTCTGTCTCTCGACTCATGTTTGGTGTTTTTTGTGGTTTGCTTCGCAGGGCCGAGTATTTTTCGCCTGAACTCCTTCACGCAGACTGTAGTGGAGCCGTCGGAGTGGAGAGGAGAGGTCCAGCTTGGAGGGGAGGTGGTCTGCGCCGCGTTTCAGGCTCCGCAAACTCTCGTCACGGGTAAGAGTCCAGTCAAGATTTTTATTTTATCAGTGTTTAGATTGACAATAGGAATGTAATATTTTCTGCATTTTCAATCAAATGTCTAATCAGGTACAGTATGCAATGTACACAACTTTATCCAAACGCACTTCTCTTCATGTAGGGGGCTGTTTTGACTGGCCAGGCAAGCTTACCATAAATGTATTATAAATTATTTTGACTGTCCAAAATGATTAAATGTCCTATACTATGCAAAATTGATTAGAGTTATAATGTCGTTACCCCATCCAAAACCTTTATTATCAGTTATGTCTTGTTTCATTCACACGTGTTTGAGTAATCCTGGATTATTCTGTCTACATCTCCAAAACTTAAAATGCTTTGTTACATTTTATGTTTTCATGAAGCTGTTAGGGATGTAACAATAACCGAAATAACGTGATATTTTATCGTCAAAAGTCTTGAAATAATATAGTGGGCTGTCATGTAAATGCATTGTTTTACAGTAGCAACACTTTATATCTGCATGATTCATGTTTTTTACTTGAATTCTTGGGATTATGATGGAAATAATTCACACCAAAATCCTGTCAAGGTATTATAAAAGCAAAAAAGTGTCCTATCTACATTTATATTAGTCTCTCCACAATATCGCAATAAATATCATACCGTGAGATGCATATCGTGATAATATCGTACTGAGAGATTTGGATATCGTTACATCCCTAGAAGCTGTAGTTTTCAAGTTAACAGCTACCTTTAACACTTTTAACCTTTAGTTCAATAGAAAAGGACAATTCCAGGGCTTTAACCTTAAATCTAAAATCTAAATGATTCTATTAAAGGTGTATGGAGTTTGAAAACACAGTGGAGCACGTCCTGTATTAGCACATGACATCACAAGGTGGTTGAGTGTTTTCGGATTTAGAAAAGAATTCAGCCTTAATATGGGGGATTTGTATGTTAAATGTGTAAATGAAACAAAACAAAACTCCAGCTATGTTTGTGATGAGGACACAACATTATAACATTCTGTAGATAAGAAAACAATGTAATATAAGTTAGTTGAAAGTGACTTAATGAAATACTTGTAAGAATACTTGTACTGTAAAGGTTTTATGGATATTGTGAGATTATTCATTTTGATATCTGGTCAGTTTTGCTGGGCAGCCTGTCTTAAATTGGGCTTGGTCATGAGTACTTTTACCGTTGGAGGATCTTGCTTATTTTTGCTTTGTTTAGGTGGATGGGTGAATACTGGTGTGTCTGGTGGAAAGAACATGCACACTTCATACACTTTTTGTATAATACTGGCAGCCAGGATTCACCCAAGTGTATTACATAGGCAGGGATCCATAGAGGGATATCTTACCATCCAAATCTACTTCACTCATCTTCGTCAAGTGTTTTTAGAAACTTTTCTCATTGATTATTTATAGCAGTGCTTTTAGTTCTTCCAAACTTGAATAAACATACTACCTAATAAAATAGATTTTGTTCTTTAAAACTCACCAGAAAACATCTACACACTGACATTTTGAATTTCAAGTGTTCCATGTCATTAAAATAAGCATACGTGTTGTTTACAAAAATGCAGATAGTGTTAACTGAGGACAAAAGCAAGGTTAAATGAGATTAAGGTTAACAAGTGGGAGCTTTTATCTGGGGAGCTGAAAACATTTACTCTGCTTAAATAGACCAGATAGAAGCTAATTTACTACACATCTCAGAAAATGTTTACATCACCTACATCTTTGAACATTCACAGATTAGAAACAAAAAAAAAACATGTGTGTTATAGTTAAAGCAGTTGGTTTTGTAGTTAATAGACTTTTAAAAGTCCTATACTGTATTACGCAAAATTGACTCTTGTGATCTTTAGGCCATGTTATAACGGTGTTACAGCAACCTAAATACACGTGGAGGTGTTTTGTTTCATTCACACGTATGAGTAAGCCTTTCTTATTAGTCTGACTACATCTCCAAAGCTCAAAATGCTCTGTTCCACCTTGTGATGTCATGAAGCAGTAGTTTTCAAGTTAACAACCACCTTTTATTGTTTGTTCCATAGAGATTGGCAATTCCAGGACTGAGATTATCCAGATGACTCTAGTGAAGGTGTATGGAGTTTAAAAACACAGTGGAGCACTTCCTGTATTACCACAAGACATCACAAGGTGGAAAAGAGTGTTTTCTGTTTAAGAGAAGAACTCAGTCTAAAAATGCAAGATTTGTGAGTTAAATGTGTGAATGAAACAAAACAAAACTGCAGGTACGTTTTTGATGAGGAAATATTATTACATACACTATCAAAGGTTTTAGAACACCCTAATTTTTCCAGTTATTTATTGCAATTCAAGTCGTGTAAGTCCAATGAAGAGCTTGGAATGGTACAAAGGTAAGAACTGAACAGCCAGAGGTTAAAAACAAAAGATAAAATATAACAAAACACAAGTCCAAGCTCTGCTAAAACTACCTCATGAAAAAAGAACAAGATGGTAAAGCTTGAAAACATGGAGTGTCCAGCACAGTCTCCAGACTTAAACCCCATCGAGCTGGTTTTGGGATGAACTGGACAGAAGAGTGAAAGTCAAGCAACCTACAAGTGCCACACATTTATGGAAACTTCTGCAACAGACTTGGGAAGAACTTTCTGAAGAATATTTGATTTCTATTGTAAAAAGAACAAGCCTCAAGTGTGTTCAGCTGTTATATCTGCCAAAGGTGGACACTTTCATGAATCTAAAGTTTAGAATACGGTTTGGTCAACAGTAAACAGTAAAAAAGTGAAAAAGTGTGGTGTTCTAAAACATTTGACCAGTAGCGTAGATCAGAAAATTGTGCAATATGGGCCCTTTAAATGTGTCCTGTGTAGCTTTTCTGAGCTGGAAGTTTTATAACTTGCTCCATGTCGCCGCACTAGGCCAAGTTACGGGTCAGATCTGTGAAGAGGCACACTCCAATCACACTTACACACACATACCTGTAATTTAATAAATGCTTTATACGCCATACATAAAAAAAAAACAAAAAACATTCTAGGCAACGCAATGATATCCATAGAGACAAGCAGGTGGCTGATCCAACACCACAAAAGTTCCACATTGTATCTTTAAAGGCACAGTTTAGCATACATTTCAATCTGATTATTCTGATTAAAACTGAGAACACATCCTTGGCTTCATTAGTCACCTGTAACTGAATAGAACTATAACATGTTTTGTATCGATTTTGTGCATCTACGGTACCATCTGACAATCATTATGTTCTCTAAAGTTGTCTCCTTTATCAACATCCAATTTTAAAAGAAAATGACTTCAAACTTTCCTACCCAGAAAGTACGTGCATTCAAGTCATTGCATGTGATGTGGCACCAAAAACTTCAAAAATAAAAAAAAAATTGATCACAGTTGGAGGAACAAAAAAGAAAAATGGCTTACTTTTAAATTTTTAAATTCACACCAGGATTTCTGAAGATGCAAAAACACCCCCTTACCTCTAGCTCGCAGAAGCAGACGAGTTGGAAATATCTTTTTTCACTTTTAACTTTTAAAAAATTGCCTACAAAGTTACAAAAATCCCAACTTTCTAGTATTTACGATCAAGCCAACTTCGCAGTAACAGCATTAGTCAATGTCGTTTATGTCAAAGACTGTAAATTACCCTTTGTTCACCGCACAAAAGCCACAAAAATCACCTCATAAGTTTCAGTTTATCTGCTTTGAGGAATTCAACTGGCAACCCTCCAGCCTCAGGTCCACTCTTGTATATATATCAACCCCTCAAATAAGCCTGTATCCTCCATTGCACATTTCGTTTAGCTCGGAAGTGCAAAGATAAGAGTAGTTATTCTCAAAAGCTGAAAGTGGCTTCGGCAGAATTGGAGCTAGAACAAAACCACAATCTCAGTGCTGCTTTGTGATCCTGCAAACTTCTTCAAAACTTTCTTCCCCCAATTTCGCTTTTGTCGACATTTTGAGTTTGTCTGCCCCTCGCACAACTTTTCTCTATCCACTTGTTTTTATATTTCCGTTCATATCCTCAGCAAGCCCGCCGCACTCAGTCTCCCGCCCACGCAGCACACTGGCACTGCACCCACCACCTCCTATTTAATCCCAGGGCCCAATTTAAATGTTGTTTATTAGCGCGCTCGCAGTGGGGGCGTAGGGGGGGATGAGACGAGGAGCTTTCAAGTGTGTGTGTGTTTGTGTTTGTGCGTGTGTGAGATACAAGAACACAGTAGGGGGTCCTATATGAGCTTGAATAGTGAAAGAGTGTAAAAATGTGACTGTCTGAAACTAAAAGTTGAAAAAAAAAAGTACAAATATAGTTTACATTTGGTTGGACGATACCAAAATATACTTTAAGTGCTTTTGGGGGTAATTTTTGTTCAATGCTGATACTTAAGATCAAGTTCAAGGTGTGTTTAGGTATATAGCACATTTAAGAACAGACAGTACTGCCCCAAAATGGTTAACAATGGATAAAAATACACAAGTAAAAAATATGAGTAAATCACAAGTACAACAATAAAACAAGCTTAAGAACACAGATAAAAGTTTAGAAAATCAACTTCAGATAAAAACCAGTGTAAAAGAAGAGATGTAGCAGCTCTGATTTGTAACGAAGGGCTTTCCACAGTTTAGGGCCCGCTAGAGCAAAGCCTTTATTTTGAGTCTGGCCCTACTCAATACTGGTCTAACCTCATGACTGAAGGTGTTTCAATAAATATATGTATAAAACATGGGCTTCCAAAAGCTTCTAATGGACAAACAGATCATTTGATGCAGATGGATCAGTCCAAATTGCTGCTAGTGAAGATGTTTTGACATTTGACAGTCTTAAATTTTACATATGTTAGATTATATGCTACATTAGTATTTGTTTTTGCATAGCAGTATTGATACCCACTAAGGTTGGAAAGGTAATATAGTATTACGTATTACCGTGGTATCAAAAAGTAGCAACGGTATCAGTTTCATTACCGTCATTAAAAAATCTGCAGCGCATAAGGACCT